GGTAGGGGGAGTAGGGGTGCTGGGGGTAGGGGTGATGTGGGTAAGAGGGGTAGGGGTGCTGTGGGTAGGGGTGCTGTGGGTAGTGGGGGTGCTGGGGGTAAGGGTTCTGTGGGTAGGGGTGCTGGGGGTAGGGGGGATAGGTTATTAAATCAGTACCCCCCCCCCCTTCTTCTAACCTTTGATGAAGGGGAGGGGGGGACACAGCCATCCCTGGTGGTCTGGTGGTGGTATGCAGGACAGGATGACAAGTCCTGCAGCTCTCCCGTCCTCCCGCGCGATGCTGTGTGGAGCGTTGTCATGGTAACGCGCGGCAACGATCCACACAGCTCGCGGGAGGACAGGAGAGCTGTTTCCTCGATCCCTCCTCCCTGCTTCCGGTCCTGCCGACACGGAAGCAGAGTAGGCGCCTGCCGTTTCGGGCAGGTAGGCGCCTACTCTGCAGTGATGGCAAACTTATGGCCGCGTGCCCACAGAGAGGGCCCGGCGTGCCACCTGTGGCACGCGTGCCATAGGTTCACCATCACTGTTATATAGCATACAGTCATCTAACCCCTAAAGATAGATGTCCAAAAATTATACCTGCTCTATCGACCAACATGGGACTCTGGCGTAGGGCCCAGAATCAGAACTGTCTTGCTGAATGGTAGACAGTTGAGATGAATTCCTAAAAGATTATGGATTGTAACTGCCATCACTCTCAGGGTCCCAGTGATATTAATGCAGATATTAATGTTATTTACAGACAAGGGTTGCCAGACACACCATGTTTTATTCTTGCTGTTTGGTTTTACGTAAAAAGTGCTATCAAGTGGTAGGAACAATTTATATATAACCCCTACATCTCAACACAGCTACTATCACGTCTTAACGCAATGTAAAACATCGTTTCTGAGGAAAATCAATGTTTATATTTGTCCAAACACAAGCCTCTACTCAGACAGCAACTAGAACGGTTTCTCATAGAGAAGCATTGGATTGGAGGAGGGTGGGAATTGCTGCACATGAGCCATCGGTCCGCAGTGCTTGCTTATGAGCGGAATTAAAATGGACCAGACGTCATACTTGATGATCTGACAGTGGATGGAGCAGCTGCAAAGTGGAGTGCGTCCACTTCTAGCGCTGGATGACAGGACACTTCTGTCACCATAACCACTACAGAGAGCTCCTCTCTAACAAATCTAAACATATTACAGAACACATAGAACTTCAAAAACAATATATTTATTTTTAATGTTAAGATGCTCATTTTTAATGTGTTTGTGCTTCACAAAGTTGGGACGCGTGGATATCCCTCTGATGACATAAATATTAACTGAATACTACAGGGTGGCACTTTTCCTGTATTGTCTAGCAACTCTGCTCCAGACTTTTTTTTTTTTTTTTTGGTTTTCCATCTGTAATTTATCAAAATATCTTATATTATGTCTTACATATGAAGCAATATACTTACAAAAGACAAAAACAGAGACAAAACCTGCAGAACCAAGTATGGGTCCCCTCACCTTATGCTAAAAAAAATCTTAAAAAGATAAAGAATTAAATATGAATCCTATCGGGTAAGAACTAAGCCATGGATCCCATTTTTTATATATATATGAACCAAATCTTTGAAAAGCTGAAAAATAACCTTTTTCCATCAGACACTGAAAATGTATTTGATTCACTACTGCCATCAGAGGGATTTCTTTCTTTTTTTTCCACGTTTTTGGAATAACCAGTTTCATAGCCACAAAAAAACTGATGTGAATTTTTTTTTAATGTTATCTAAGTTTAGACGTAAAATGGCTTTTTTTTGGCGCTTCCTTAATTTTCAGCTTTAAAATATCTTAGATTATTTGAAAGAGCTTAGACCGGGTATTATTAACTAGTCTACCAGACCACCAGATATGAACACATGTTCCTTCCCTTATTCCACATCTCCAGCATAGAGCGGAATGATTAGAATCTATTGTATGTGCTCCAGACTCGTTGAAGCTGATTAACCCCTTAAGGACCAAACTTCGGGAATATTGACATGTCACGCATGTCATGTGTCCTTAAGGGGTTAATACACTCAGCCAGCAGAGCTTAAGACACTTAGACACGCTGTCTCTGGTGCCTAGAACTGTCTCGCCCAAGAGAAAGATGGCGGTTCTGGCATGCCTGACGTCACTCTCACTCCGGGCACCTGACAGCTGAGAAGAAGAAGCTGAACTGGGGGCGTGGTTAGAGCTGGTTGCCACGTGCCTTCTCTCCACGGCGACGTCACGGCTAGCCTGGCGGGGCTGCTCGATGAGTGGAATGAAGCTGCCGATGGGGGCGTGGTTACCTGACGTCAGAAGGTCAGACCGCGTGTGGGCGTGGCCCGTCGCGCGGAGAGAGTGGCAGTTGGGGCTGGTAGCCGGGGGATGAGCTCCTCCCGGGGCTGAGCGGAATCGAGTATCGCCAGCAACATGGAGGACGTGAACTCCAATGTGAGCGCGGACCAGGAGGTGCGGAAGCTGCAGGAGCTGGTCAAGAAGCTGGAGAAGCAGAACGAGCAGCTCCGCTCCAGGTCCACCCACCAGCCCCCGGGCTCTCCCAGGACCGTGCCCGCCGCTCCCAGCCTCCAGCACCGGGCCTCCCCGCACACCGCGGCGGCCGCAGCCTCCCTGCTCCTCCTCGGCAACGGCGGCCGCTGTGTGAGCCCGGGGCCTGCGCTGCGAGACCAGCGGGGGGACGGCAGGGGGGACGGGGCCGCCTGGGAAGAGCTCATAGAGGCGGCGGCGGAGGAGAGGAGGAAGGACGGCGGGGACAGCGAGCTCATACTGGACCAGGTGGTGCCGCTCCGGCAGGAGGACATGGACAGCATGGTGTCCTTCCAGGAGGAGGAGAGCTGGTAACTAACTTCGCTGTCTGACAAAGTTTGGGCAGTGCGAGCCCCAGTATGGGAGGGCAGGGAGTCCTGAGCCTGTACACAGATACACACACAATGAACCAGGGCTGGGAGGGCTGGCTGAGTGTCATGGGCAGAGTAGTTTAGAAACAGGTGGTTATAGTATTAAGATAATTTATCCCACTCAGCTAATGCTTTCCCTGAGTTCAAGCCATGCAGGGGTGGCATGTTATAGAGAGCAGAGTGTTATTTATTTATATATATATATATATATATACACACACACATATGTGTTGGCACAAGTACAGATAGTCGTTTTTTGTTTTAGTTGGAAATGTAAAGGTTCTAACTTAGAACCTGTGGGTGTGGAGGACTATAAAACAAGTACTGGCGCAGTGTTTAGGTGCCTTTGTGGGCTCCAGCTGTTTTTGCATGGCACCCCAGAATGCCAGGATCATGGCCGCACTCAGAACGTGTTGTCGGAGGGCAGTTGGAGGTTTTCATGTCTCATTTGCATCTGCTAGCAATTACTCTTGTTTGAATAAAGCAAATCTTATTACTTAAAGCAACGCTGTTGTGTTTGACAGTCTCTGGATAGACCCCTAAAGTAGTCATCCTTAAGTCTGAAGACACTCTTTCCCCCATAGGCACAGTCTTCTTACTTCAGCGACTGGTGCTTTAAAACCAGGAGCCTGAGTCAGTGCTTAGCTGACACTCTCGGCTGTGCTTTGCCCAGTTGCTGTAACTGGATTCTTCGACAATTAGAATTCGGTCACAGGGCTCCAGGCGCAAGGCAAAATCCAGGTAAGTTGTCAGATTTTTCTAAAACGGTTTGACAAATTACTTGGTAGCGTGCCAGGACCCTGCTGGCACTATGGCAGCTTATATTGGTAATGCTTGGAGTGTTCCTTTTAATACTGAAAAGTGAGAGCCGCTTTAACCCCTTAAGGACACATGACATGTGTGATATGTCATGATTCCCTTTTATTCCAGAAGTTTGGTCCTTAAGGGGTTAAAGTGGCTTTCTTACTTTATTAGTATTTCTTATATAATGAAACACTCCTGTGGCTAAGTTGGCGGTTCATTGAAATTCCAACAAAAATAGTTACTACATTATCTAACCGATATTTTCAAGGTTGGCAAAACCTGAAAAAAGGCAGAGCTTTCCCAGCAGCCATCACTAGTGTGAAAAGGCTTTGTGAAGGATTCCATGAGATCTTCAATAGACTTGTTTTATATTCTTCTACTTGAGTAAAACATTGGTTCAGGTGCCTAAAATTTGATGCCCCCGGAGTTGGACATGGATGACACCAATATGATGATGTGGGAAAACATCCGTTATCTACCTTGAGATTTTCCCATGTCTGTTACGTGGGTATGGCGGGAGAATCTTTGTAAAATTTGGAAAGATCCTACAAGTGACAGACCTGCTTTAATTAGAGAAGAATTTGATGATGTCTATCCAGTTATGACAGAGCAGAGTGCAAATGTTATGTTTAATGTTGGCAGGTCACATCAGTAGTTTAACTAGATGCAAACATTGATTAGTTTGAGGGACATTTTGCAAAAAGTGCCACTGTGTTGTCTATGTATCTCTGATTGTGATAATTGGGGGAAAAGGGATCTCTGGGTGCAAGCCCTTTGGTTTTTGTCAAACCATTGAGTGTATTGACTAAAAAATATGAACTTTTGTAATTATTGGGACCTGTGTATCTGATCATGACTGAAATTGATTTTCACTTGTCCCTGTGAGTCCTGTATTGTGCTTTTGTTTTAAATTGAGTTTTTTTTTTTTTTAAACAAACTGCTGCTGACAAAATAATGTAGAACCAAATTTTGAGTTAAAGGGACACTCTAATAGCATAACCTCTACAGAGCACTATAGAGGTTATGTATGATGCCAGGAGTGCCTCTAAATTGTCATCCACCACACAAGCTTTCTTCACTAAGCAAAGCCCAGGGCTTAGCTCATTGACTGAGAGCAATCAGCTGACACACTCATCCAATGAGCTGTCCTGGCGCTGCAGAGCTTGGCTTAGGGACTCCCAGGATCGAGCTTCTGGCTCTCACTTTTGTTGGCAGTGAGGTGAGGAGCAGTGTCCAGTGGGCCATTACCAAACTATTTGACTACTTACAGGGGCTGTGTACTTATACTACCATAAACACAACTATACTATTTTTAGTGGTTCTTGGAGTGTTCCTTTTAAGCTGCTCTGAGCTGCCTGTTCTGTTTTTGACATATGTCTTAGAGTGCTCCTTTAGCATATGTTAGACAATTCTCTCTGGTGTCTCACAAACCTGGATAGAAGTTAAATTCTGTTCACAATATATAGGCAGTGTCATAACATTACAATGTTCAGGATGAAATTGCCACAATATTCCCTACAATTTCACTGGTTGAGCTTGGTAGCCACAGAACTAAAGAGAAGCACAGAACTGCAAAATTTGCATCATCCTGGAAAATGCTGACTGTATTCACTGTATGATTAGAGGCTTATTAGTTTGTTCTCTAATAGACGTGCATAACTTGTGAAAATGAATTCTTCTGACCTTTAAAGCTTAATTAAATCGTCTGGGTGCCAGCCAGGTTTAACCCTTTTTGCAGTAAACATAGCAGTTTCAGAGAAACTGCTATGTTTACCTATGGGTTAATCCAGCCTCTAGTTGACAGTGAGAAGGCGCCAGCGTCCATAGGAAAGCATTGAGAATGCTTTCCTATGAGACTGGCTGAATGTGCGTGCAGCTCTTGCCGCGCATGCGCATTCAGCCAATGACGGAAGAAGAGGGAGGAGAGTCCCACTGTCGAGGGAGCCCCGTGCTGGAGAAAGGTAAGGAATTATAGTGCCAGGAAAATGAGTATGTTTTCATGGCACTATAGTGGTCCTTTAATTGAACAGTATATTCTCAATACTGCAGTCCAGTATGTATTCTGTGGATGTTTTTACATGGCACATTTATTACTTTTTTTTTTTTTTATTCATATTTGGTAGACTGTATGGCTTGAAATTGCAGGACTGTGCACATTTCTTTTGTATGGGGATAATCTAGGACCACATTATTACTGGTCTTGAATTTTTTTGGGAGTATATATATATATATTACTACACGTTTTTGCAATAAATTTAATGTCATTTTTCTAAAAAGAAGACCTCTGGAGTGCACTCGTTTTTCTTCGATATATATATATATATATATATATATATATATATATATAATATATTCCCAAAAAAATTCAAGACCAGTAATAATGTGGTCCTAGATTATATGTATTCATTCAAATTTCGTATTAATTAGAATTTTTGGGGCAAGAGTGCCAGAGATTTTGGATTTATATATATATTATATTTATTACACACACAATTTGCATGCCAGGTGTACAAGGTGGGAAAAGGCAAACCTCTGGCCATATGCAGGAAAACGTGAAGATTTGTTTTGCTCTTGGCTTCCTGTTGCCTCCACTCTTTCACCTGTTTAGTGTAGGGTTTCTCTAATCAAAGTATATATATATTTTTTTAGCCTTTTTGTTATAAAGACCTATAGCAAAGGTCTGATGGGATATAAAACACAATATATTGAATCGTGTGTCCAAGAATGTGCACTATAGCTCGCAATTTTAATCCACTAAATTATTACTAAAATGAGAATTGACAGAATTTAAAGGAACACTGTAGTGATAGCAATACAAACGTGTATTCCTGTCATTTTAAAGTTAAGAATTCAGTTTAAGCCCCCGGCCCCCATTTGGCACGCTTTAAAAGGGTAAAAAACTCACCTTTATTGCAGTGCCTCGTGGGCACCCGCACTGCCTCCTTGGCTAACTCTATCAGCCAATCCAATGCTTTCCCATGGGAAAGCATTGGGAGACTATCGCTCATGGGCAGTCAAACGCAGCATCACCTCATAGAGAAACACTGATTTAATGCATTGCTATGAAAAATATTCAGCTCCTCCATGCAAAATGTGGAGATGCTGTGCAACACTGACCCAGGAGAGATTTTCATTTCAGTTATTTTGACCTTCAGTTTGAATTCTTACTTTAGTGAATAACCCCACAAGTGTGAAATCTCCTAATTACAATCAGATTTGTCATTTGGCTGTAATAGTCAGGCATCAGCCATAACAGGTTCTGGAAGCTACGTGGGCAATTAACATGAAACTACTTTAAAAGGGAACAGTCACTTATTTTTTTTAAATATTATGTTTACTTATCGTCATAACATATTTGTACTTGTGGAATATAGAAATCCACACATTTACCCTGCATGTGGTACCTCCATAATTTCTTCTTTGCACAGGATAGCGAATAAATGAAACAATGTCTCAATTTCTTTGCTTCATTTGCAATATGCTTCAACTGGGTATTCTGTAAATCCTGAGCTGGTAGGAGTTGCTTCAGGGAACCACTGCATTTATGTACTTAATGATGAATAGTAGCTAATTTTATAGTCCAATGTTTTCCTGCAAATTTAAAGTTTACATTAGAGGCAGAATATTTTTCTTTAAAAAAAAAAAATAAATAATTATTCTTTATCTAGGTCTCTGAATGGGCCGTTCTTTAAAGCAGTGCTGTCATGTTTCTATTGCTTATGCCATTTGTATGTTAAGGGGACACTCCACTGCCAAGTAAAAAAATAATCATGGTAGATGGTTTGGGTTTTCCCCCACTGAAAACATGTATACTTTTTTTTTTTTTTTTTTTCTTCCATTAAGGGTATATATAAAAACAGCTTGCAAAAGCTTCAGAATGCAGCTCAATGAAAAATCTTTGCAAGGCAAGTGCTCTGGGCAATTGCCTGTGTCTTGAGTTTACCTCTACACAGAGCTAAACTACCAGTAAGTAACAGGATTGTTTGTCTCATTGACAAACAGGTGGGTGTAACAAAGTTAATCATTACATTGCCACTTGCCTTTTTCTTTCTTGCACTGGATCTCAATACCTGAGCGCCTCAAAATAAATAAATATATATATATATATATATATATATATATATATATATATATATATATATATATATATATATATATATATATTTTTTTTTTTTCTCCTCTGTCCATGATGTTTGCAATTTGCCCTTCTGTGGTATTCTTTTTTACATATGAATTGTGATAAATTAGCTTGGCAACTGAAATTAAAGCTTGCTTAAAGGAACACAGGAACACAAACCAGTATTCCTATAGTGTTAAAAATACTATTTGAGCCCCCCTGACCCACCCTTAAAGCCAATAAAAATTATTTCCAGAGCTGGGTGTGCCCCCGATCTGTCTCCTTGGCTGACATCTTTAGAATTGATTATCTCAGACATGCCCATGCTTTCCTATCCCAATTATGATGTCAGCCAAGGAGGCAGATAGGGGGTTATATTCTATTAGGGGGGCATAGATAGTGGTTTAACACTATAGGGTGAGAAACACATCTGTGTTCCTTTAATGTAAACACTGCCTTTTCTCTGACAAGACTGTGTTTATGTTAAAAAACCTGCAGGGAATGACTATACTCACCAGAACAACTACAGTAAGCAGTTGTTGTTTTGGTGACTAGTGTCCCTTTAAGCTCGGCCCATAGCCCAAAATTGCAAAGAGCGTCTTCTTTATTTGAAAGTTTTCCATACTTTATCTTTGTATAATTAAATAGGCAAATTACAAAAAAATAAAACTAAGTAAAGTGGCAGAGCTGCAATATAGCAAAGCTCATTTTGCCTTATTTATGATGGGAACAAATGCAAATTATAATTATTATTTTTTTTTTTAAACTACATCCAAGTACTCCCAGCAGCCCGATCCTCCACTGGTAACTCCTGCTCATTACACTTTAATTATTGAAGTGTTCATGGTGCTTAGGGTAACCATTTTATTTGCCTATCATTTGTAACATATCTTCAGTTCCTTATGACCTGTGGGTTGGTTTCTAAATTTGCCTCTTAAACTTATTTAAATAAATAAAGGCCTACCTGGGATTGTCAGCCTCTGCTCTTTTGTTTGCGTTATTTAAAGGGTCACCGACTAAAAATATGTTTTAAAAAATAGTGTTCCATGCTCTTTAGATTCAGAATGCCTCTTTTTTAAAAAGATTTAAAACAAAAACTCCAGCGACACACCTTAATCCCAAACGAATATAGCAGATACCAGGGATGCAGCTCACCGTTGGCGCCGGGTATTATTGAGCTATATAATGGTTTTTCCTGATTCACCGCTCCCATAACATAAGAGCTCAGACAGCTAGAGGTCGGGACCAACCAGCTTAAAGGGACACTATAGTCACCTGAACAACTTTAACTTAATGAGGTTGTTCAGGTGAGAACTATAGCTCCCTGCAGCCTTTCTCATGTAAACACTGTATTTTTTTTGAGAAAATACTGACTCTGCCTCTTTGTCAGTCTCAGCCAATCCTATGCGGGAAGCACGGTGATTGGATCAGGCTACCACATGTCAGCGGACTGCTTGTTTTTCTAGTCTAACAGCATGAAGAGTTACAGCCTCAGGCTTGAATACAGTAAGATTTTTACTATATTTATGGAGGCATGAGGGGCCCAGGGGGACTAGATGGTGGTGTTAACACTATAGGGTCAGGAATACATGTTTGTGTTCCTGACCCTATAGTGATCCTTTAAGATATGCAATGATACTGTTAAAACAATTGTACTACTGTTTCTCAAATTGTCATTATTTATTTTTCAAAAAATGTCCTTTAACTTCCCATGCCATACATTTGTTACTAACTGTTACTATGGTTACTCCTGCTGTTGGGGCATTGTGGGCATCTCTGTTCTCACAGCACAGAAAAAAATCAAGAATTAAAAAAACTGTAAAACTAATTTGTTTTGGGCAGTCTCCTGGCAGCAGCAGCTCTGACCTCTCTGAGGTTTTATTATGAGGATTCTGAAGATGCTGGACGTCTTCATGTTAAACTCTGTGATACCGCAGGAAGCACATCTAATGTCTGTCTGCAGGATTAAGACAATCTCTAGTGGTTGTCTCACAATACAGGGTTAAGGGGATAGGGACACTGCACCCAGACTATTTCAAATAGATATAGTCAGGCTGTCAGTCCCTTTAAGATGTAGTGGTTTTTATGCTTACTTTACTTTTCGGGGAGTTTAGTTTCCCTTAGTCTTGCAGACTGGAATTCCAATGGTTCTGCTGGCAAATTTACATTCATTTCTTGGCTTACCTTAAATAGCAATTAAGCAAAGCAATTAACCACTACATCTGAAAAAAATGTAGGCTTAACTAGTCTCCTAGAAACTCTCTTCCTTGGCTGCATTGATCATGCAAAATGTACACTTTTTGCATTATCACTGTTAATCTCTTCCAGTCTGGATGACAGTAATAGACTGAGAATGCTGGGGGCAGTTTAGCACAGTGGTCTCAGTCAGTCACAGCCATTCTGCTTGGATATAACTGCATTGATAATTCAGAAGTATCTGGGTCCTGGGGAAAGCCTCCTTTTTATTTATTTATTTTGTCGTCAAACTATTCTCAAAGGTTTATAAAAAGATACAGTGGAACCGTGCCCGGAGTGTCTTGGCAACATAACCAATACACTAAGATGCAGTGGTTATGTTGCTTAGTGCCTTGGCAAAGTGTATGTACCTGTGTGTCTTAGTTGTCGATGTGTTTTATTGATTAACTGTGTGACACAAGCTGTTAAGTGTCAGGTGATTACTGAACATTGTTTTTTAAAAAGCCTAATTTGTTATTGAATTCATTACACAAGCTACTAAACAAACTCAAACCTTGAACTGAAGTGGTCTGGGTGCCTATCCTGGTCCTTTAAAGTAATTGTTGGCCTGAACAAGGCAAGTGTGTCTTACATGGAATGGGTATGTAAATAGTGATGGTTGCAGTTATATGATCACCTACGATGAAGATTTCTGTTCTGTGTGAATAAGGAAAGGAGTGAACTATTACATGTAATGATCAAGGCCCATTTTTATACAACTTTGTACAGTTAATATTGTTTAAGATTTGAGCTTCAGCCAGATGCACATTTACTGCAAGTATCAGTGTTTTTGGCTGTTGATTAAAGTGATGTGTTCTAACATTTCTCTCAGTTGTTTGTTCCTGTAGGATGTTTGATGTACATGTTAATGCATTCTTTAGCCTTTGTTTGCCCTCTTTTTTATTTTGTGTTTGTTTCTATTCACATCTTACAGCACGCATGTTTTCAGCTGCCACAGCGTGCACATAATGTAAATGCTTGTTTGTGGTGATTTACAATGTGACAGTTTACGACCTTGTACAGCCATAGCCATTCTGAGAGCACTCGTTTGCCATGCAAAATATTCTGTGTATTTCATTTTAAGCAATACTTACGGAATAAATGCAGATGTTCCTGTTAATATTTGATTTTATAATGGCAAATGGTATTGATAGACATTGTAGGTATTTCAATCAACTGTTCAACATGTTTCCTGTATGAGGGTTCCATTGCTGTTTTTTTCTTTTTTTTTTAATATAATGTACATATCCTCCCTTGGCCTCCTCAGAAGTTTGATGGGCTGAGTTGATTGAGTAGAATTGCGTATCTGTAGTTTAGATGCTCTGTCCAACCCAAGATCTTACTGGAGATTAAGTTCAACTCAGTGAAAACTATTAAAACTTAGGTAACTATTATGACTGTCTACTTTTCTTTGTCGTCTGTCTAAATGCAAATAGAAAGTGACTTGTAGCTTTTGATATGTCACACTTTCTTTTCATATGATCAAAGTAGATGCTGATGTTATACTAATCACAAATGTTTCACTTATGTAGTATGTGTTCTTCATCTGTATCATGCTTGTTGGGTTGTTAATGCGTTATCAGTATTAGAATCTACTTTGAAATATTACGGTTCCATGCATATTGTTTGTGTGTATACAGTACTTCAAACATTTTAAACAAACTCTTTTTTCCAAGTCAGTCTGAGAGTTTTCTTTTGTGTGTTATTGTTACAGTGCTCTTCCAATATAGTGTAAATACAAACAAATATTTCATTCCTATGCAGGCAGGGCTGAAATTGGCTGTGGAGTTATGTTGCTGTTCATAGCTTATAAATTGGAGGAATCCTGTAATTCCTCATCTAAATATAATTTGCTGTTATCAAACAGACTGTACTTTATGTATGAAGTGTTGAAAAGCAAAATGCATCAAATCTCTATTTGAAGGTAAATTCTAGTACCGATTCATCTTAATGCAGCAGTAATTAGTCAGTGTAATATACAGATCATTTAACTTAGAATAAATGGACTATCTTGGCAACAGCAAAATGCTACAACATAAAGGACCACTATAGGCACCCAGACCACTTCAGCTTAATGAAGTGGTCTGGGTGCCAGGTCCAGCTAGGATTAACCCTTTTTTTCTGTAAACATAGCAGTTTCATAGAAACTGCTATGTTTACCTGTGGGTTAATCCAGCCTCTAGTGGCTGTCTCATTGACAGCTGCTAGAGGGCTTCTGCGTTTCTCACTGTGATTTTCACAGTGAGAAGACGCCAGCGTCCATAGGAAAGCATTGAGAATGCTTTCCTATGGACTGGCTGAATGCACGCGCGGCTCTTGCCGCGCATGCGCATTCAGCTGGTGACGGAAGAAGAGGGAGGAGAGGAGGAGAAGAACTCCCCACCCGGCGCTGGAGAAAGAGGTAAGTTTAACCCCTTCCATAGATCCCCATTTTATAATTTTGCACAGGTGTGTGGAATACACTATTGATGTGTCACACTCCTGGCTGGATTTATTTTAACTCTAAAAAATTTGCACAGAAAATATTTTATATACACCTCTAACCATGCTTTCATGTACTTTAAGACACCAAGCACCATGACCACTTTATTGAACTGGTCATGGTGTCCAGAGACTATATGTACAGCATATCAAAGAAGAACGCTGCACACACAAGAGATTAACATCTTAAATGTTGAAGGTGTAACTCCATCTCTGCCACTGTCAATAGGCTGCCCGGAACAAAGCTCTAGGTTGGCTAATGTCAGAACAGTGGGACCTCGGTTTACAAATGCCTCGGTTAACATAATTTTCAGTTTACAAATGAAAATCCATTGAAAATAATTCCTCGGCTTACAAATTTTTTCCGCAATACAAAGCAAGTTTCCCCAGGATGCATTGCACCTGGGAGGTTTATAGCACTGCCCCCTGCATGCTGGAGCCTGTGGGTAGCACGTGGTGTAGAGTGTGGAGGTGTTGGAGTGGCTTTTGCATAGAGTTTTGGAGCCATTCTGGAAATTGTTTGCCGTTGTTTTGGCACTTTTTGGTGCATTTTTCAAGCTGTGGAGAGGTAGGGAGCTGAGCTTCGTTGCTTGCGTGCCTTTTATTGTGTGTTCTGCATTGGGGGTTGGTTTCCATGCCAGCTTATTTTGACTTTTTTCTGACCTCCAGAACGGATGAATTGGTGTTCAATGCATTCCTATGGGAAACCGCATTTTGGTTTACAAATGTTTCGCAATAAGAAACATTCCGGAGAACGCATTAAATTCGTAAACCGAGGTCCCACTGTACTATGAAAAATTGGCATCTGATGCCAGTACGCACAATATGCTGGTGCCAGACAGCCAATGGTGTCACAGCATTCACTATCCTCCCTGACTTCTTTCCCCTTTAAGATAGGGGGATTGGATTTCAGGGAGATATTGGTCTCTATGCTGGAAACCCTCCAAGGGTTATAAAGTAATTCACTCACTTTTTATCCCATACCGTGCAGCTCTGTCTGCAGGGATTCCCACCTCCTTGGCTGGATCATCAATCTTGATGAGCTCAGTCAGTCCAATGCTTTCCCATAAGAACACATTGAGAAGCTAGTTTGCAGCAACATGCAGCACCAATTGGATGGCCCATCTGATTGAAATAGCAGACTTTTGCGGAAGCAAATCTAGTGGCTGTCAGAGTGAAGATGGAAACGTTCCGTCATGCTGGTCTTTTACTTCTGAAGCTGTGCCCTTAAGGGGTTAAATCCTGCAATGAAACCATTGACGTTCTTGCAGAATGAGTGTTTGATTTCTCTTGCCGGGTTAAAACTAGAGGGACATGGCATCCAGACTGATTCATTGAAATAAAGTGGTCTGGATGCCTATAGAGTCCCTTTAAATCTTGTGTTTTGCTTTACCTCCGGAGTGGCTGTAATGAAAGTCCATTAACATAATATTTCCTTAGCTAGCTTTTGGAATGCATTTGCATCAATTTCTGCTCAGCATATAACAAATTGAGTACTTTGTTGCTAATGTATGTTGAATCATGTCTTATTTATGAGCTGACATTGCTTGCTGTATGATTTGAAACCCAAAATATGATTTATTTTTCAATAGAATGAGTAATGGGTGAGGTATTATTGTAGATCAACCTTGTGCGCAAGCTCTGGGCCTAAAACTCTCTTTTATTCCGTCACCCTCCAACCCAGTTTTCTATTAGCGAACTCATGTATTGGGTTATGTGCAATGTCTTACTAATTTCTTGTTGAAATAACAATGCATCAGAGAGGGTCACCTCATTCCCAGAAAAATCGGAGAATCAATTTCTCTAGAGACAATATCTTACAGGTGTGAGTGATTTGTCATTCTTTTTAATAATGTTTCTGTTTTCATGGCTGTTGTGGCAGTCTTTACAATGCAAAAGCAGCTTTGTATGGATTCATTTTAGGAAAGGCACAACAGGGCATGGTATGGTATAGGACAGGGGTAGGCAACCTACGGCACTCGAGGTGTCTTTCCATGGCACTCAAGGCTGCTAGAGCCAAACATGCTCTGGCCTATCAGGAGTCTCAGTGAAACATCAGATATCTGCTAATACGAAAAAGTGGTGAAGGAAAATCCTCAATTTATGCATTGCAGAACGTAGAGGAAGTGACCTCAGATCAGTTCCTCCCAGCACTTGTGAATGGGAATCCACACGGTAGTAAAGCAGCCTGCAGCTGCTGTTGCAGCTCCTGTCCTTGACCTGTACCACTGGAACCCAGGGAAGCCACCCATATTGCTAGATATACACAGACTTGCAGAATAACCCTCTCCTCATGCAAATAATATGAACAGCCCACACACAAACATACACACAATCCCCACAAACGCAACACCACTAACAATCCGCATACATGCAGCCTCTCACATGCAATACCCCAAACACACAATGTGACATATCTATCCACACACAATTCCACAAGCAGCCCTCATACACAGCCCACATTAATATGTATCATACACGATACCATAAACTACTAATGAACATATACAATATAATAGCTCATATACACACAAATACAATTATACAAAGCAATTACAGTAAAAATAACACAAGCAGAATACGGCAGCACACACACCTCAATTTAAAAAAAAATAGGATCGGCATGCTACGGGACATCACAATCCTTTTTCGGCACAGTGCTGCTAAAAGGTTGCCTTCCCATGGTATAGGATCTCGTCAGCCAACCCTGCCTTGTGGTCAGTATCTGTTGTTCTGTTTGCTGAACTGGCTGGATTGTCTCACTTTTCTTAGGATCTATATTTTGTTTTCTGTCTAATATACTATTATTAATGCACATTCAGATATAAAAAAAGCCTGGTATTGTATGCTTCATTCAAATATGTTTCATTTGTCTATTCTGTAAGGGCGTTTCCTTCTGTTTGGAGTGATGTAACTATTCTGGTGTAGTTTAGCATATTAATATGGCAGGCATTCAGAAATCTGAATGTAAACACTGAATTGCAAAGCCAAAGCTGCAGTGTGTGAGCCAAGATTTACTCTCCATCCTGAGCCATAATGTGCAATGACATGCTTTTTCCGTGCATTGCGGTGTAGTACTAATGGTACATTAGAGCACTTCATATATAATTTTGTTTCTACTCAATCACAGATTTACTTTAAAGGGACAAAATAGGCACACAAGTACAGCTTAATGTAGGGCTTTTGTGGCACAGTGCCTGTTGCTGCAGGTAAAGCAGTGTAAATGCTTTATATTGCTGCCAAATCCCACCTCTAGTGGTTCTCACTCAGATAGTTACTAAAGGGATTTCCTGAGTTAGATTCTGCAAAAATTGCAGGACCAACATTCAGTGTTCTGCTGAACGCCCCCAACAGAGATGCATTGATGCAGTTTGCCGGTGGGGTCATCTATCAAGGTGGGTTTTTTTTTTTTTTTTTTTTATAGCTGTGGGGGGGGAAGCATGGTCTATGGAGGAATCCTTCAGACCACCTCCTTGTACGCTAACAGGCTGAAGAGGACTGACTGGATGAAGATGCTGGAGGCCACTGTTAAACTTTGCTCAGCAGTGATTTGATTCCAGGCCCAAGTTTCACATGCTTCTGGCGGGAGAAGCACCTCTAGTGGCTGTCAGGAAGACAGACACCAAAAGGTTAATGGGTTACTCCAAACAATAAACTATTCTAAGAAAACACTGATTTTGGTTAGAGTAACCCATGCTATAGTATTCCTTTAAGTGGTCATCTTTTATTGTTAGAGGGGGTTGTGGTGTCCTGAAAACTTTACTTCACAACTTCTACCAGATACAGATTATGTGAATTCATTGCTGATTTTTAAGCCAGCTAGATTGGATCAATATCCCTTCTTCCCACCTCATTTCTTTATTAGTTATAAAGATATTTTGAGAATATTATCTAATCAGGCAACGTGATCACATGCTTGGTCAAAAGGGAAAACGTTCAGATCCTAATTGACATAACATTCCTATTCTGAAACACAGTATGGTGGTTTCATCAAGTTGGTTTAAGTTACGTGTTGTACATACATGTATGCTGACTACATCATTAAAGAATTTAGGTGAGCACACATAATGTGTAACCCAATTCTTGTAATAGCCACTTTACTACTTATAAAAATAGCTGTCTATACAAATCATTTTGTTCTGTATGTTTATTAGAGAAATTAAGGGAATGAAGATTCTCAGGTGCATATTTGTTCACTAGAGCAAATCCCTGCAGTTTCATATTGTGATAATATTTTAATACAACTACAGGTCTTTGGATGTGACATGCAAAGTATATTTCTCTTATAAATCATGGGCAGTACTATCTTTAACCTTAACTGTGTCATGGGCACAATTCTGCGCACAAGATGACTTTATCGTGGGCAGCAGGTGCAACACTTTTTGGTAAGCATTTGTCTCACTCCTTGCTGCCTTGGTTTGCTCCAGTCCATGGCTGGGCTCCAACGTGACTGTGATTCGGCATGCTTCGGCACCCGCTACTGCCTCTTCCACTGCTGGAAGCTCCTATTAGAAGTTTACAGTTGGCTCCAGTGACCCAAGTCCTGCTGTGCATGGCCATGAGAGCATCAGCTGATTGCTATCAGCCAATGGCTACAGAGCTGCTGGAGATTCTGGCAGCAGGGAAGGTGGTGGCATACGCCTGGCAGTATCCAGGTAAGTTGTTAAACCATTCTTACATTTATTCTGTGAGGGCAACAGATGTGTGGCTAATGCAGAGATTTTACACTTTCTTGTAGTCATACACACTCCCATCGGAGCTTTGATAGGCTAAGAGCAGTCAGCTGACACACTCAACAAATCACAGCTGCCCATTGCTGCTCAGGCTAATACTTCCTCATTAACCAAAGTTGCACAAAGGGGTTGCTGAGTACTCTTAAGCGCTGAATGAAAGGACGGCACCAGGGAACTCCAGACACTATATGAAAAGTTAAGGGATTAAGCAGATACAGTGCCTATTACTATAACCTATAATTATATGTGAATACATTTCCTATGTGTTTAGATTTTGTTCATGCCAGGATTAATGGAGTGAATAGAGAACAGGATATTATTTTTGGAGTGAGCATCTTATCAAAGGCCAGCAGATACGATAAAGTGGTTTCATGCAAGACATCTTCATCACAATCCTTCCTAACTCCTTATATAGTCTGAGACCACTAGTTTTACCACAATATGCTGAGTCTTAAAGCAGCTAGTTTTTAACTTAAAGTAAAAGGGGAGAGGGAAAATTATAAGGGTTTGTTTTTGTTTTTTTAAAATTGTTTTAAGGGCAGATGAGATGTTTTAGTAGACCTATCATTAAAATGTGCAAGACAAATTGCTAGCAGATATCAATTATTCCCAGTTGGTTTGAGACGTTGGTATTCGTGGCTGTAAAAGTCATATTGGTACAGAGATAAAGAATACTAATTGCATTTACACTGATGACTGCTTCTCTCCCAAAGTATAAATAGTTTTAACAATTATATTAATAAAGCGATTTATTGCATATTGAATGGCTTACAGAGTACTATTAAAGAGACACATCCCATTGTTCCAGGGACACTGCAAGACCAGTTCAAACTAGGTGCCCTGCCCCTCCTCAATCTCCCATTTGGTTCTCAGCCCTTGCTTTTATCTGACCCTCGCTGAGGGCCTTGTCCACCCTGGACCAAGGTAGAGAGGGGCTATAATCCTGCTACCTTGGTCCAGGGTGGACAAGGCCCTCAGCGATTCCAGTCGAGCCTCTGAAGTGCTACAGGCTCCCTGACAGCTGTGGGGAAGTGGGACTTGGTGGAGGCACTGATGCTGGCAAGTAGGCTTAGCTTGAAATTTCTGTTCCAGTTTATCCCAATGGTGCTCGATGGGTTTGAGGTCAGGGCTCTGTGTGGGGCAGTCAAGTTGATCCACACCAAACTCTTCCTATTATGTTTGTATGGACCTTGCGTTGTGCACTGGGGCACAGTCATGCTGGAACAGAAAATTACCACCCCCAAACTGTTCCCATAAAGTTGGAAGAATTGCATTGTCCAAAATGTCTTGGTATGCTGAACCATTAAGATTTCCCTTCACTGGAAACTTAGCTCAACTCCTCAAACAGCCCCATACCATTATCCCTCCTCCACCAAACTTTACAGTTGGCACAATGCGGTCAGACAGGTAAGTCTCCTCGCATCTACCAAACCCAGACTCGCCCATCAGACTACCAAACAGTGAAGTGTTGTTAGTCACTCCACAGAGCACTTTCCACTGCGACAGAGTACAGTGACGGCGTGCTTTAGTCAGTGGAAGTTTGCACCTCTTCAGTATGGGATCAGCAGAGTGTTGGTGACCCTGCTCTGTGACTTTATGTGGTCTTCCGCTTCGTGGTTTTAAGTTGTTCTTAAACATGTACACTTTCTTAAAATACGACTAACTGTTGACCGTGGAATATCTAGCAGGGATGAAATTACACAAACTGACTTATTGTAGAGGTGGCACAGTACCACACTTGAATTCACTAAGCTCCTCAGAACGACCTATTTAAAAAAAAAAAATATATATATATATATATATATATATTTTCCAAATATTTGTAAATCCAGACTGCATGGCTAGGTGCTTGATGTTATACACTTGTGGCAATGGGTCTGATTGAAACACCTGAATTCTATAATTAAAAGGTGTCTCCCAATACTTTTGTCCATATAGTGTAGTTTCTATATTTACATTGTGTGTAAAAATTCTATATAGAATTTTTTTTGTATAGTTTGTGATAACATTGCCTTCCATTACTTTGATTTAAAGGAACACTATAGTCAGGAACGCAAACCTGTATTCCTCGTCAAATGTTTTTTATTGAATATTTTCAAAGTTATGATACGTTTCCAAAAGAAAAAAAAGTCATAGTATAATTTATAACAAATATTAACTGGGGGAAATGAACAGTTTATCCGGATTTACAAAGAACAGTATATATTTACAATAAAGTCTTTAAAAATAAATAAAGTAACCGATATCTTCAAATGTCATCTGAATATGACATTTCAATTCTTTATATTTGGTCAGGTGAGACAATGCCTAAAAATTTAATAGATTTAATAGCATTTTCAGCTGTTATTCTTGATGATAATTCATATCTCATCTTTTCAGAGTGAGTTTAAAACTTCCTTTATGTCTGGAATGATGGGTGATTTCCAGTGTCTGGGGTTTGCCACAGTGGCTGCTATTAATATGTTCTAATATTTGTTTTGGTTTATATAAGTTAGATGAATCGATAACTGACATTTTGCCTTTTCAAAAAAACTCCCAAATAAGAGTTTGATCAGAGAATGCATAGATTTCCAATAATTTCTCAATTTAGGGCAAGACCATAGTATGTGAGATAAAGATCCTACTTGACCCCATACTCCAACAGTTGTTAGTGTGACATAATTTTAATAATTTAGATGGAGTGAGGTACCACCTGTGGATAATTTTTTAAAATGAGAAATACCCTTTAAGGCCATTGCTATATTTAACCATTCTTTTGTTTCCAATGCCTTTCTCAGTTATTTTTTCCACTTAATCATAGTCTAATTTTACATTTCCTCTGTCATTAAAGGACCACTATAGGCACCCAGACCACTTCAGCTCAATGAAGTGGTCTGGATGCCAGGTCTCTCTAGTTTTAACCCTGGAGCTGAAAACATAGCAGTTTCAGAGAATGGTTAATCCAAACTAGAGGCCGCTTCTGCGATTCTCACTGTGAAAATCACAGTGAGAAGATGCTGGATGTAATGCTTTCCTATGGGCGGTTTGAATGCACGCGGCTCTTGCCGCGCATGCACATTCGGCGCTGACGTTGGCAGGAGGAGGAGAGGTTACCAGCGCTGGAGAAAGGTAAGTGGCTGAAGGGGGGCCATGAGGGTGGGGGGGACCTAATAACCCTATAGTGCCAGGAAAACGAGTTTGTTTTCCTGGCACTATATAGTGGTCCTTTAATTCATAACAGCTGTAAATCATGTGTTTACGATCAGGATCTAAATAGTAAAAAAAAAAAAAAATCTAAAACAGACCTATTTATTTAAAAATCGGAGAGACATTTATTAACTATTGTTTCGATCATAACATCATATATTTTCATTCACACCATCTAAATTATACTTATTTTTTATTTCTGAAAATTTAAGAAAGGAATTTGAAGATATTAGGTTCTCGATGTGTGTTACTGAATGATTTGACCAATAACCTACATCAAAACCCAGAATGCCCACTCTGAGCACTGAAATTGGTGACGCTCTTGACCATGATGGTGGTTTAATTTTTTTTTTAAAATCATACAAACCTGTATTCCTGACACTGTAATGTTAAAAAACACAAATTTCCCCTCTAAATATAATAAAATGTTACTTTTGTTCCTGTCTGCTGCTGGCTCTGTCACTGATCTGCCTGCTTGGCTGACATCATCCGCAGTGTTGATCAAAACCAATCACAATGCTTTACCATTGAAAAGCATTGAATTGACTGAGACTACCAAGGAAGCAGATTAGGGGCCGAGCCAGCACAAGCCAAATGCAGCCCTGGTCAATCAGCATCTCCTAATGCACTGGATACACTGTGCAGAACTGCCACAGAAAGCACCTCTAGCTGTCATTTGAGGAGTGGCCAGTGGAGGTATCTCTAGGCTGTAATGTAAACCGTGCCTTTTACTGCAAAAAGCCTGCAGGGAATGATTATACTCTCCAGAATAAATACAATAAGTTGTAGTTGTTCTGGTAAATGGTGTCCCTTTTCTTTCAGAACAACATTTAATATATTCAGAATTTATACTTCCAGCTGGATATAAGCCTTGTTGTGTTGAAATAATCCCTGGTATGATGTTTGTGTTTCTGACCCTATACTGTTCCTTTAAGTATGACCAAAAAACATTTATTCCTGACCCTGTAGTGTTAAAACCACCATTTGGGTGGCTTGCTCTCACCTTAGCCTCCTTAAAAGGTAATTAAACTTACCTTATTTCTAGCGCTGCACAGATTTGCTGGCCTCGCCTTCTTGCTGACATTCGAATTTGATTTCAGCCAATAGCATTGGATTGGCTGAAATCGTCAAGGAGGCGGGATGGGGACAAAACGCTGGCTTTTCTGCTGGCTTTTCTGCCTGTTAACACAACCGCACAAAGATGGTTTAAAATGAAGCTTCTAGAATGGTAATTGACTAACTCTGTACTTTTGTGAACTATATTTTTGATGTAGATTTGCTTAACAAAAATATTTTCTGTCTATTGTTTAACTATATGCATTTGTTAAATTCCAGAATTCTGTATGTGATTAATGATATATATATATATATATATATATATATATTTTTTTTTTGAATGAATGTCCTTTTCATATTTATTATTTTATCAAAAAAGACAAGCCTTAAAGAATGTACTGAAACCTCATATTTCAAGTTAATTTGTGGCATGTGATGAGGTGTGGACCGGAGAACTTACCATTATAGATGTTGTAGTCCAAACACAGCTCTTGCCAAGCTCTATTCTGCATTCCAGCGTAAAGTCCATGAATATTTAGGCTCTGAACTACATTTATATTTTATTCTGTCAGCACAGTAGATTTCTGGTAAAGCAGTGACAAATGTGATAAAATTCAGAATGTCTACTTCCATTCTGTATTTATATCCATGAACCCTTTTTATACATGGTTCTTCCATAGTAACTTGAAAAGAAAATACATGTAACTTCCCTCGTATTTTGTGTAGTGCAAATAACTACCTAAGGTTTTATGTCTGGGTCCTGTCACAATGTGGAGTGGCTTTATTAATGTGAGATTTGCTGGGAATCTGTTAACATTTTATGGCAAAAATTGCTGAATTTGGAAACATTCTCCAAGTCACCTATGCTTCAAGTTCAGGTATTTTGGCTTTAAATTTGACATTCAGTTAGAATTTTCAACAATCCCCACCTTAGTGAATAACCGTGTGTTTCACAGATGCATTGGATTACAGCAGGGCTCGACAAATCCCAGACGCCAGGTCGCCATTGCGGCTAGAAATTTGTCCCTAGCGCCTGGGATTTAAAGCCCTTCATCTAAATGCAGGATTGGGGAACAATGGAGCTGGCCGGTCGCCCTGAGCGTGGGCGGCCAGCTCAGCGAGCGTGCAGGCGGCCACCCTGGGGAGCATCACTGTGGTCGGCTGGGGCAGCTTGCGAGGGAGCAGTGATCTTCAAGCGACTCCCCTCTGCTCCCTCGTGCTGTTTTATGATGCTGGGAGCTGGAATATGACGTCATTCCGGCTCCCGGCATCACTATAGGGAGCAGAGAGGAGCCGCTTGAAGATCACTGCTCCCTCACACCCAGGGAAAAAAAGGCCAGGTGGATTCAAATTAAAATGGAAAATTTGTGTGTCTCTCTGTCTGTCAGTATGCTGTGTCAGTGTGTGTGTGTCTCTCTCTCTGTGTCAGTGTGTGTGTGTCTCTCTCTCTGTGTCAGTGTGTGTGTCTCTCTCTCTGTCAGTGTGTGTGTGTCTCTGTCAGTGTGTGTGTGTGTGTTTCTCTCTGTCAGTATGTGTGTGTGTTTCTCTGTCAGTGTGTGTTTCTCTGTCAGTATGTGTGTCTCTCTCTCTCTGTCAGTATGTGTGTCTCTCTCTCTCTGTCAGTATGTGTGTGTCTCTCTCTCTCTCTGTCAGTATGTGTGTGTGTCTCTCTCTGTGTCTGTCAGTATGTGTCTCTCCCTCTCTGTGTCAGTATGTCTCTCTCCCTCTCTGTGTCAGTATGTCTCTCTCCCTCTCTGTGTCAGTATGTCTCTCTCCCTCTCTGTGTCAGTATGTCTCTCTCCCTCTGTGTCAGTATGTGTGTCTCTCTCCCTCTCTGTGTCAGTATGTGTCTCTCTCCCCCTCTCTGTGTCAGTGTGTGTCTCTCTCCCTCTCTGTGTCAGTGTGTGTCTCTCTCCCTCTCTGTGTCAGTGTGTCTCTCTCCCTCCCTCTCTGTGTCAGTATGTGTCTCTCTCCCTCCCTCTCTGTGTCAGTATGTGTGTCTCTCTCCCTCCCTCTGTGTCAGTATGTGTCTCTCTCCCTCCCTCTCTCTCTGTGTCAGTGTGTGTCTCTCTCTCTCTCCCTCTCTGTGTCAGTGTCTCTCTCTCTCTCCCTCTCTGTCAGTATGTGTCTCTCTCTCTCTCCCTCTCTGTGTCAGTATGTGTCTCTCTCTCTCTCCCTCTCTGTGTCAGTATGTGTCTCTCTCTCTCTCCCTCTCTGTGTCAGTATGTCTCTCTCTCTCCCTCTCTGTGTCAATATGTGTCTCTCTCTCCCTCTCTGTGTCAATATGTGTGTCTCTCTCCCTCTCTGTGTCAGTATGTGTCTCTCTCCCTCTCTGTGTCAGTATGTGTCTCTCCCCCTCTCTGTGTCAGTATGTGTGTCTCTCTCCCTCTCTGTGTCAGTATGTGTCTCTCCCCCTCTCTGTGTCAGTATGTGTGTCTCTCTCCCTCTCTGTGTCAGTATGTGTGTCTCTCTCCCTCTGTGTCAGTATGTGTGTCTCTCTCCCTCTCTGTGTCAGTATGTGTGTCTCTCTCCCTCTCTGTGTCAGTATGTCTCTCTCCCTCTCTGTGTCAGTATGTGTCTCTCTCCCTCTCTGTGTCAGTATGTGTCTCTCTCCCTCTCTGTGTCAGTATGTGTGTCTCTCTCCCTCTCTCTGTCAGTTTGTGTGTCTCTCTCCCTCTCTGTCGGTATGTGTGTCTCTCTCCCTCTGTGTCTCTCTGTGTCAGTATGTGTCTCTCTCCCTCCCTCTCTGTGTCAGTATGTGTGTCTCTCTCCCTCCCTCTCTGTGTCAGTATGTGTGTCTCTCTCCCTCGCTCTCTGTGTCAGTATGTGTGTCTCTCTCCCTCCCTCTCTGTGTCAGTATGTGTGTCTCTCTCCCTCCCTCTCTGTGTCAGTATGTGTGTCTCTCTCCCTCTCTCTGGGTCTGTTTAGGTACCTGCAGCCCTCCAATCACGCGATAGGTGTTTTTACTCACCTTCTTTCCCACGCCATGCCAGTTTTCCGCGGCTTTATTCGTGAGATAATCAATCTTTAAGATCTCTGCTAAACCAATGCTTTCCTATAGGAAAGCTTTGGGAAGATATTGCGCATGTTTTCTATATGTAACATTCAGCATCCATGCAGAGCGTGGAGACGCTGAACAAAGGTGCTGCACACTGTGCAGCAATGACACAGGACTCTCTAGTGGCGTCTGAGTGACTGTCACTAGAGATGTTACTAGGTAGCAATGGAAACACTGCCCTTTCTCTGAATTTTCTTTTTTTAGCTGGCTCCTAGATTCCTAACAAATTTGTCAAGCCCTGGATTACAGGAAGTTCCGTGCATTTGTTCTTGACCTTCCTCTTTTTATCACTCTTGTAAAGAGTTTACTATAATGCAGCCTTGTGTTAATGGTACATTTTGTCTCTTCTGTACCCACCAACTGGCATTTCTAGTGTGTTAATTGAAGTGGTCTTCATTTTCAAAAAATCTTTGCTCATCCACTACTGTAGTTTTCAACATCATTTGCTTGTTCCTAACGCCACACTTTCACTCTCTGGGGACTTCGCATAATTTGCAAAGACCTGCGATGGTGGGATTTACTTGAACCTGTCCCTTGTGGACACAGCTAATTTCATCCGGCTGGTCCGCTTCTGGTGCTGAATTCAGCGCCATGTGTAGATGTCACTGCTGTACTCTCACGCAGGATCTTCCATAGACACAGCTAATATCTTTGCAGCCATCACTGGTGTCTAAAAGTGTCAAGTGTAGGAAATATACTAAGCCAAAGTAGTCTGTACTCAATGAAATTCCAATGCAGTCAATAGGAGTATTTCATAAAGGTTTTTTCTTTATGAAATATAGGTACTCATTTTGTTGGGGGGCGGGGCAGTGTATGTGTGTTTCAGTGTATCACAGACACATACAGCCAGCATACGACACACAGCCAGCGCTGATCTTACTTACATGAGACACACACACAAACTCTCTTTCCTCCCCCTCCACGCCTCCCTCTGCCCTCCCCAGGCTCTTGGCAGAGCCCCCAATCTTTTTGATTGTTTTGTGCCAGGACAAGTAGATTGTCAAGACAGTCAAGTAGGTTAGGCTACTAATTTAGTCCATTGGACAAGTAGATTTTTTTTATACATTGTGATTGCAGAGCCAAAATAATATATTGTCTTATTGATCTTCTTATGGCTCAATCACAGAATGTTTTACACCAATGAATCAAAGCTGGAATCTTTAATGCTAAATAGTTGCATTCTGTATTTATATTTGCTTCCTGTTTTGTTGGTACAATCCATTTAAATTTTACTGTGTCATACTTGAGTTTATTCTTGATATGCTTGAGATATACTTCAGTTGCTTGAAGGTTGAGAGCACTGCTAACTTTTTAATACTAGGTTAACCTACCCCTATATGTGAAAATAAGAATGAAGAGTAGAAATTGCACCTTCATCCTGTCAGACTTTGTTGTAAGCGCTGCACATTACTAGTTAATTTAAAAGAAAACCGAGAATCAGAGTTGTTCTAGATGATTTCCAGTCTTTTATTCAATGGTGTTATCTTGTTTCATAAGAAGAACAAGTATTTATTGTAAAATCCTATCTTATTTTTATTTTCAGGTTATATACTTCACCAAAGAAAAAGCAAACTCCTTTGCAAAAATCCATAAGTCCATTGGTCTGGTGTCGGCAGGTTTTTGACAGTCCAAGTCCTGACCTGGAATGTGCAAAAAAGTCACTTCTCCATAGGCTTGAACAAACAATGTCAGGTGAGCAGAAACAAATCAACTTCTTAACAGCTACCACATTATTGTGACACATGGGGAGAAATAATATAAAATATATTTGTGTGTGCATTTTTGTTCCTCGTTCCATTCTAAATTTCATTTATGTAGAATACAGATATAAAACAGCTAAAAATGACTATAAAAAATAAAATATATATATTTCTTTTGTGTATATATAATGGCACAAAATCGAAACTACCTAATTTACATTAAAAAAAACAACTAAACCCTGCATATTAAAAAAAACAACATGGTAACATGGATAACTGCATTCTGATTGGATGCTTTTTCATGTCAGATCCAGCTAGCTTTGTTTCTCCAGAAAATACACAGGTAACAATAACTAGAAGGCGCTGTGCTGTAAGATGCACATTTTCCTAAGCAAAGATCTACATTTAATTAGCATACTTTTTACATATAACTGCAGTTCTCTGTGTTAACCTTTTAATGCAAGCAGAATTACTGTCCTTTGAGATCGTTAATAGATGAAATTTGTTTTCAGTCTTTTTGGTGCATACTTCTTACTAGCCAGCTTGAAAAACGTCACTAGTATTTACCCACTACTTCAACAGATTGCTAAATATTTTTAAGAAATCGTATAACACGGTTTGCAAAAGCATAGCATCTGTTGCATAAGCTTTTTGCATTCTACCCTAGGCGTCCAGGACTTCCAAGCTGTTCAGAACACTTTGTATTTGTTGTCTTTCAGCCAAATAACACAATAGTCCTTTTCTTTTTTTAGCAATGAATCTTTTTATTTTAATGTGAAATCAAAATTAGTAGATAGTTTGCAAGACTTTTGTTGATATCTGGTTTTCTAGTGACCTACAAAGCTGCCTCCCATATTTTGTACATATTTAATTGTTGCCTAGTTACTTGGTAGTTTGTATATAAACACACTTTATTTTATTTTTTTAAATATTTACTGTGATTTACGGATACTTAGTAAAGGGACATCATACTAAATAGTTGAGCAATTATTATAATTTGCAGTAACACTAATTGAGGGGAGCTTTCATACACACGATTATCAAGCTCAGTGTTCAAATGTAAAGGAAGAGTTCTTTTAATGTATCAAGCATTATAGATACGTTCCTCCACCTTGGAGATGCTTTCAGCACACATGCATGCTCTATAGTTTACCATAATTCCTTTTCATATTCGGCAGCAATGACTACAGTACACATCAGCCCCAATATATAGTAAAAACCAAAGAAAATAAAGTTACCTGCGCTCTCTCCTTAATCCCTATGTATATGAAGACAAATGGAGGTCATTTAGTTGCTCCAATGGCCATTGGAGGGAATGCCCACCTGCCAACGTCAAGGAGAGAGCGCAGGTAACTTTTTCTTTTCTTTGGTTTTTACTATATATTGGGGCTGATGTGTACTGTATTCATTGCTGCCGGCCCAGTAGTGATGGGAGTGAGTGCAGGACTTATCTTTTTGTATTTGTATTTACTTTGTATCACACAGCCTTGTTACAATGCTGCCGCCCATCCCATGTGTTCCCTATTAAGGGTTAATAAGTATATAGGGGTGTGTATCTGTCTCATTCAAGATATCTTTGCCAGAAGCTCAAGGAAGCAGGCTGAAGGGTCTGTGTAGGACCTGCTTTAGGGGGGGTCTGCCTTGACGTTGGCAGGCGGGCATTCCATGTCCAATGGCTATTGGAGCAACTAAATGACCTCCATTTGTCTAAATATACACAGGGATTAAGGAGAGAGCACAGGTAACATTTTCTTTTCTTTGGTTTTTACTATATATTGGGGCTGATGTGTAATGTAGTCATTGCTGCCGGCCCAGTAGTGATGGGAGTGAGCGCAGGACTTATCTTTTTACATCTGTAATATGACTTCAGTCTGCGAGAGGTGGACATATTTGCTGGGCTTATGAAGTACAATTTATTTTCTCTCTTGGCTAAAAGAGAAAAACAACCAGTGGGCACAACAAAATCAAAATGCAAACCGTGACGGTTATCAACAAATTGTACGTTTCCTTTTTTCTTTTTGGTGTTGGGGTCGGTTTCAGGCGGCTTATTCTCTCTTTGGGTGGGAGGGACAGAGGAAGTTCTCTTTATTGCAACCTTGATGATAAGAAATAGAAGACATAGTATTAAATGTTCTTTTTAATTTTCAAATACAAAACTTAAGTTGGTTTTCAATATTGTTATAGGATTAAAATAAAAAAGGTGAGCTGTGTCTTTAAGACAACTGCAATATTAAAGGATCACTATAGGGTCAGGAACACAAACTTGTATTCCTGACACTATAGTGTTAAAAACACTGTAACGGAGCTCCTTGTACTCCGACTGAGTACCCTCCGCTGACGGATGCTCCTAGCGCTTCCTGAGGACTCCAAGCGCTGCAGAAGACACCACAACCACCGCAGACTCCGCAACCGCCGTATCTTGACTGGAGTCTCGCCGTCTTCCTTCCACCCTGGATCAGCTTCTGTCCTCCAGGACTGTGTGGGAAAGAACTCTTCCTTCCACCCTGTATGAACCTCCAGCATCCAGGACTGTGTGGTGAAGACCCCTCCTCCAAGGAGAGCGTGTCAGGAACAAGCTCTTAAAAGAGCTAAGTGACTCAAGCTCAAGGGAGCATGCAGAGCATAGCAATCCCCAGTGTGATTATAACAGCTCCCTCCAATAACGAGACAAGGCTACATTTAGAGGGATCAAGAAGAACTGTCAAAACCTTTATTTCCCTTGGGACCAGCCAATAGGGTCACCACAATAACATTGTTGTGAAACCTCAATAAAATCACAAACAGTCAAACCATATCAAGCAACACACAGTGACTTATCACAACACAATGGCACATTTTTAAAGGGGTGGGGGGAGACAATATTTAACAGTAAATATCTCACCTGCCTGCAGAATTAGCAATATGCAAATCTACCCGAATATGCAAATGAACCAGTCTTGCAATTCAGGTAGTGCATATTGCTGTTGCTACCAACAGAGGGCACTAGACAAGCTCCATAGCCAAACCCACCTAGTTGGTAGCAAACCTCAGCAGTACAGGAGAGCAGGCAATACATTTCACAGTACACACACACTATAAACAATTACATTACACACACCCTGCACCTATAATGGGTACAGGGTGACTAAAACATAAGATAAATAAAGCAGCCTACATAAATAGTCTGTCTGAAGGTAGAATAGGGGCTTTAAAGCCAAATACATCAAAGAGTCATAGTCACAGGGGAGGAGGCTGGCAAGCAGGCCTCTCCAGTACTAAGTGGTGAAGGGCACTTCGTCACAAACACCATCTAGCTCCCCTGGGCCCCTCATGCCTCCATAATTATAGTAAAAAATCTTACTGTATTCAAGCCTGAAGCTGTAAATCTGCATGCTGTTAGACTCAGAAAACCAAGCTGTCGGCTGACATGTGGTAGCCTAAACCAATCACAGTGCTTCCCCATAGGATTGGCTGAGACTGACAAAGGGGCAGAGTCGGCATGATTCAAACACAGCCCTGGCCAATCAGCATCTTCTCATGCAGAGGGAGGCGATACTGAATCACAGGATGCTGTGCACAGTCCTGCCCTGTGCTCTGCTGACAGATATGAGTGGATGGAGGCATATTATGCCTACATAAACTCTGATGTCCCTCTGGTTCACTCTGAGTGACTGTAACTGGAGGTGTTCCTAGCTTTCAATGTAAACACTGTATTTTCTCAGAAAATAGTGTTTACATGAGGAAGGCTGCAGGGAGCTATAGTTCTCACCTGAACAACCTCATTAAGCTAAAGTTGTTCAGGTGACTATAGTGTCCCTTTAAGTGAATACCACAATCTGTTATAGAACCAGCAAGTGATAATAAACATCAAAGTGCACTATTCAATCAATAAAGTGCGTAAAAGATAAGTCCTATCAAATTGTTTATAAAGCACAATTAAGTCCGTCAATATACATTGCAGTAGGAGTGTAAAGTGTTCCACGCTTCACTTACATAATACATTATCCTTATGTCATAAATGCAAAGAGACTAAAAATAAAACTGCATATAGTGTAATATTGTTCTAAATAATATTCCATATATCAGTCTGCTCAGGCTATAGGTTGTGCTACCTTAAAGGGATACTATAAGTACCAGGAATACAAAGCTCCCTCTGCTTCCCCCCCTCGCACCCCCACCAACGTGAATACAGTGTTAAAAACCCTTTAGCTGATCCCAGCCTCATCCCGCGAAAGCATTCCCTATGGGGAAATAGCTGACGCTGGATGTCCGCTGGGGTGGGGGCTGGGCAGGTGTAATGAAACTTTTATTTTTTTTTTTATTTTATAGAAATGCCAGTTTCTATTGAAATATGCACTCTTTGTAAAATTTCAAAATACACTCTTCAGATTATAAAGACTTTCACAATTTAAGGTGCTTTAGGCGTCTGGAGTGTCACTTTTAATGAACCACTTTTGGTGTATAAATCATCCACCTGTAGTCTCACTGCTCAAATCACTTTTATTTATGCAGCACTAGCCACACTTCCCAGACTACGACTCAAACAGCCTGCATGAAAAAATGGTTTTATTTTTAGTCCGATCTGAGAGCACAGTGTGTTTTATTTAGAAGCGTTTATCTCCTGCTGTGTATTTAAACCTTAATCACACACGTGAGGCTACTGCAGGCTATTTACAAAATATACACACAGAAACAAGTAAAAAGAAGGCGCTAGTAATAAAATCGTCTTAGAATATAGCTATCCAAAAAATATATTCTGAAGCTGCACCAAAAACAAGTGTAAAACTCCTCCAAACACACTATATATATATATATATATATATATATATATATATATATATATATATATATATATATATATATATATATATATATATATATATATATAAAATTATAAAGTGCGCTGTGTCTTTAAGACCCAATTATAAAGTGCCACAAGTGCAAACACTGTAATAAAGTGCACATAAAGTGTATAGTGTTAATAAAAAATTATTATACATACATATGTCCTCTCAAATAGAAATGTACATAAGAGACACAGAAAAAAACAAATAGTGTAAACCTGTTATGAAAAAATAAATATAAAATATAAATGCCAAATATTGCACTCACAAAGGTAGAGCAGATAAAACCTGCTCTAACTACAACAGCTTCTTCAAATATAGGACTGCACAGACGAAATATTCCAAAAGATGTATTTATTGCCCAGCACAGCACAAGTATGTCACCTTCCTCCACATCCAGTACAGGTTTACAGAGTGTTCGGTTATATGCAGCTTAGGGTGTCGACTATCCCCTCTGTTTGTTCGCCGCCATTATTGCCGTTTCTACTGCTGCTTCCTCAAACTTCCGGGGGGAGGGGACTTCCAAAAGTGCGTGACGTACGGTGCGTAACTTGCGTGATGACGCGTTTCGCCATGTTCACGGCTTCATCAGATCTGCCCATCCATGTCCTTTTCGTTCTTCTATACACACCCTTATGGGTGTGTTCAAATAGCTGTCGTGCAAAGTCTTTTATCTAATCGCTGGTATCAATCAAAATTTTGTTAAAGTCTTGCAAGAGACCTTCCAGTTTAATTGCATTAAAAAAAAAAATCAGTTATTTTCCTTTGTAATCCTTTTCCGAAAGATAATAATTTAAGTAAAAAATAAGCATGCAGGATATTTGCAATTAAGGTGGTTTTCCAAGTAGAGCCAAATAGAAAGCAGGATAATTTTAGCTGACCGCAATTGGGGTAAAACAAGAGCAAGCTTCTTGCTTCAGGTAAGTTTGAGAGTTCATGTAATTAGGTAAATAGAATTGGCTTTAACTTATCTCTTGGGAGCTGACATAAGGAGTAGTAATGAGTCCGGTCCATTAATCAGGGTTATAGAGGTCTGCAAGGTCGGTTTACATTAGCCAGGTTTCGGTACACAAAATAGTATTCAGGGGAGCTCAGACAGCCATTATGTATCTCACAGCCAAGTGTAAATAAATAGATTTAATCTATTGGCTTTACTTGGAAAACCACCTTAATTGCAAATATCCTGCATGCTTATTTTGTACTTAAATTATCTTTTGGATAATTTTAAGTATATACTGCAGGCTATTAACAGAGGAGGAAATACATTCTAAATTTACACAGCGTACAAGGAATTTTAAACATTAGATCTCTCTTTTCAGGCAATGTGTAAGGAGACTGTAGGTCACGTGCAGGGGATTTGTGACCAGAGTGATTAAACTCCTCAGTGGTCGAGAACTGCAGGGACATGATCTATACGTTCATTGAGATGAAGTGATTTTGGTGGTTAGACTGTTCCTTTACATTAAATGACATTGGAAACCAGATAAATTTCAACCAACAACAAAAAATTTTTTGACAAATGGCACTGGCTCACATTTTGCAATTCCCACACCGACTAGTACCTGTCATTTAGATCGCCATTAGACCCAGTAATTGAGGGTTCGGTGATCTAAAATAAAGGAGCACATAATCCTATATAATTAATGTTGATTTTTAAGATTTCAGCATTATTTATCCTATTCATGAAATTGGCTCAAGTTGCTCAAAGTTCACCTTTTTACTATATTTGTCGAAGAGGGAGGAGAGGTCACCAGCACCGAGGGAGCCCGGCACTGGATAAAGGTAAGTGCCTGAAGGTTGTTTTTTTTTTTTTAAAACCCCTTCAGCCCAGTGAGGGGTGTGGGGGGACCTGAGGATGGGGGAAACTAAGGATTATATAGTGTCAGGAAAACACGTTTGTTTTCCTGACACTATAGTGGTCCTTTAATAATCTGTTCTTGTCTTGATTTAAATACCGTAGCCCCCTTGTGTTATTTACAAAGCAGTGGGTGATGGTCATTTACTCGACAGTTGCGTATCTTACCAAGACCAAATTAAACAAGCACCTAACAGACACTAACCCTCTGTTACTACACAGCAAAATGATATTCCCAATTTCTATGTGAAGAAAAATACAGTAATGCAGAAACTCTGGAAATAGAAAATACTTGGTCATGAAACATTGTCTCAAACTGCATATCCTTGAGGATACTTGTCATTTTTATTGTACTTTTTCTGCTTCTGACTATGCAGTCTTTTAAATTATATTGTTAAAGGTGCATTTATATACCACAGGACACTGCTGTAGTGGTTATAGTGCTGGCAAGCCACTGGTTATATGTTAAAGGAACACTAGAGGGTCAGGAAGACAAACATGTGTTCCTGACCCTATAGTGTTAAAACCACTATTTAGTTGACTTGCCCCTACCTAATCCCATTATTTCCAGTGCCGCATGGGTATGCTTTCGCCTCCCCAGATCCTTTTTTTTTTTTTGTGGACATTATCAGAATTGTCCTTAGGAAAAGCATTGGATTGGCTCAGATCGTCAAGAGGGCGGGACCAAACGCCACCTGGTCAATCAACATCTCCTTATAGATGCATTGAATCAAGGCATTTTTATGGGGAAAGTTCAGCGTCTCCATGCAGAGCGTGGAGACACTGGATGGCAGTGCTGAACAGTGTGAAGTGTGACTCAGGAACCACCTCTCCATCTGAGGAGTGGCCACTGGAGGTGTCAATAGGCTGTAATGTAAACACTGCCTTTTTTATGAAAAGATGGTGTTTACTGCAAAAAGCCTGCAGGGACTAATTATACTCACTAGATACATTAAGCTGTAATTGTTCTGATGACTAGTTATTTTTGAACAGTATGATACAGGTAGTTATCAGGGAACCCATGGTCTCTGTATCACTAATCTACTACTTTAAACTGTGTATACATAGTTATTGTTAGAGAGAATAACTGAGTTGGGGGGAAGGGGAAAATTAAATATTCTACTTTTCCAAAATTTTATCACAAAATTTTTAATTAACCAGTTAAATGAATAAATACCTTTTATTGCCTTTAAAGATAAGTACATTTATTTAAAAATACAAGAGCTCTATCTTTATTTAGTATCCTAATCTCTCCAATCCCATTTGTAAATCTGATAATTGAGTTTGTGATTTATGCACCGTGAATGTGGGTGTGAGTGTTGCAGCATTTTATTACAAAACATGAGGTCAAAATAGTGTGCATGACTTGTGATTTATATAGGAACATTCGTTATGTGGAAGAAATACTGCAATGCGACACATTGTTCTAAATATAAAATAAGAATTAGGTCAAGTGGGCAAGAATACCGTGTTTCCATTTGTCATGTAGCATAAACCGTAATTTAGCAGTGCATCCACCACCGAAAATCACAAAGTTCCCAAGAATAGGAAAACTAGGTTAAGGAACACTATTCCTAAATTGCCAAATCATCATGTGGGGCTGAGGGATCACAGGCCTAAAAGTATTTAGTCCATGGAAATTGATGTTCTTTGTAAAGTTAATATTTGTGGTACATGCTGTTTAGGAGTTAAAGCGGCACTGTCATGCCGAACTTTTCCTCAATCTCTTCCTCTTCTCCCCCTCTCTCAGGATCTGTTCTTCTTTTCTTCCTGACTTCTTTAGTTTACTTTAAAATCATAAGACAAAGTAGGGACTCTTTCCCTTATGGAGGATTCCTCCGCTTGACCAGCTCTGACCAGCGGAGGAGCAAAGTGTGCTTCATTTTCGCTGGTCAGAGCAATTTTCCCATAATTCTTACCTTTCCTCTGTTCCACAAAACTGCTGAATTATGTTCTAACTGAATGAGAACAGTATGTTCGTTTGTTTTAGAACGCAATTCGGCATTTAGTTCGGATCGCAATTTCATTTGAATGAATGAAACTCCGATCCTATGTGTGCTGTGGCTGCATCTTGCAGCCGCTTAGTAGATAACTCCCTAATTCCAACGGTATCAGGGAGTTATCTACCAAAAGGCTAAAAGACCTAAATTGGTTTTTCAGCCACATTTACTAATACCAAGTAAAAATTACTTAGTATTAGTAAATGCTGCCCCTACTTGCTATACTGCCTGTGGCTGCTCACTGTAATATATATATAAAAAAATAAAAAAACTATTGGCCCCCACCCCTAAACGACGGGTGGGGGTCCTAAAGTAAAATAAGGGGGGGGAGACCTATTGTCGTCGCCCCCCCCTGCGGTGGGTGGGGGTCATAATGATGAGGGGGGGATGGACCTAGGTCCCCCCCCCTCATTGTCATTTGGCCCCCACTACTGAGGACAGTAGTTCCCCTCCCCCATTATCATCATGGCCCCACCTGCGCTCAGGGATGGAGGCCTGGGGGGTGGTGGACAGGTTCCCCCTTCATTATCATTGCCCCCACCCGCCCAGAGTGCGGGCGGGGGAAGGACGGTGGTGTGTTTATCATTATGACCCCCACCCGCGCCTGGGGGAGGACAGTAGGTCCCCCACCCCCATTATCATCATTGCCCCCACCTGCAGCCCAGTGGTGGGGGGGACAACAGGTGTGTCCCCCCCCCATTGTAATTTATGGCCCCCACCCGCCGCTCAGGGGTGGGGGCCGGATAGTAGGTTTTTTTTTTTTTGTTTTTTGTGAGCAGCCACAGGTCATAGCGTGAGGGGGAACCTGGGGTGCTTTACATATTACAAGGAGAGAGCTGCGTGCCAGTAGCTCCCTCCTTGTAATAAACTGTACGAACAAACGAACACTGATACAGTGTTTGTTTGTTCGTCTGATTTTTCTATTCATTCATTCGTCTTTCTGATGAATGAATGAATAGATGAAATTCCCGTTCGCATGTCCAGGTGTTTAACTGGGCATGTGCGGAATCTCAGTGCTATCTAGTGTGGGCAGATGAAGTATCCCACAGGGACTTCCTCTACCCACACAAAGATGGTGGCGCCCTGAATATAGATTAGGGCAGAAAATAAAGATAAAAAAAGGTAATGTGGGGGGCTTAGGGGCGTTTGGGAGTGACTAGGGTGTCAATTAGAGATAGGAGGCGGGAGGGGGGTTAAAAAAAAAACAAAAAAAAAACAGGATTCGGCATGACAGTGCCGCTTTAAATCTTTTTTTTTTTGTTGTTGTTGTATATTTATACAGCCATAACCTTACCTTTCCTGACATGGAGTCACACAGCCACCATGAAAATAAGTTTTCAAACCATCTTACAACAGTGTTTGATTTGGAAATTATCTCCTACTCTGTTAATTAAATGTTAATCTCATATTGGAGGTTGCTGCAAACTTGAGCAGCAATTAAACACACTGTAGAAGGAAAGTTAATATAATATGAGCTCTTTTTCAGGAAGTGGGTGGGTAGCCGGAGTGAAACACATGGGGAGGGAGGTGTGGCTGTGGACGCATAAACAAACTTGACACATAAATGACAGAAAATTGAACAGTGAGACTGCAGGGGCATAATCTACATACGCCAAAACCACTTTGTGGAGCTGAAGCTTGTTGCTGGTTACTATGTCTCTTTAAATTCTGTACAAGGAATAAATAATACTTTGTATTAAGAATATAATAATGTGATTCTTTGACCTTGATTGTCCACCAGGTCAGATACTTAGATGGAAATTATTCCTGCACTGAACAGGAGCCGTTGTAGGTTGGTACACACATAACAAATGGTCAGGAAGAAGAGTAGTGGGTACACATAAGAATTTTTGCTGTCTTGAGTCTAGTCTGAGATGGCTTACAGTGTCTTCGTAATCTTTGTATAGTAATATAGGCTGTTACTAAAATAGGGAGTTGGGACACAGTGGTGTCAGTGTAAGGAGGAGATGGATTATGTAGCTACTGGGAAGTGTTGATGATATCAATGATTCAGTTTGGATATATTGTCAGCACCTGCACCCTTGAACTATTCTCCAACAGTCAAAATAACATGATAGAAGAAGAAACATAAAATAAAGAAATGAACGTGTCACAGAACAGAAAATACAGGATTTTCATGGACATTTGGATGATCTAGTTGCAAAAATTATAATAAGTAAAAAATGTATTGATCTGGTAATTTTCTCTTTTGCCGAATTACACATGTTAACATTACTTTTCACCTGGAACTTTGTGTATTTTACCAACACAGTTCTTAACATTGTTTATGCATTAACACATGTTTTTATTTTTCCCATGCCAAATTGGTTCTTTCACTTTTTCTTATAAAAGTGACTTTTTTTTGTAATATAATCCAAAAAATAGTGACTTATCTAATATATTTGTTTGTTGTTGTCCGTATGGCTGACCATATTGTGTATATATTGCTTGTGATCAGCAAGTATAAAAATGTTTTAGTATTTAGAACTGCAGCACTAGTAAATAAATGGTTTTGTTTTACTAGCTACATACAAACACACACACTATTTATATAGAACTCTTTTTTTCTCCAGCCAGCAAGAGACAGAGTATGTACAGCATTCCATATAATTCTGCCAGTTATGCTAGCTGTTACAGTCCAAATCCTAGTGGAAGTCCATACAGTAGTGGATTCAATTCTCCGTCCTCTACCCTTGTGAGACCTCCAGTAGTGAGGCAGCTGGTACTGCCTAGCAGCACAGGTGAGTAAATAACATAATGTTTATCTGTCAGGGGAAGATACCACCTGAATGTGTACTTACTGTGTCAAGGTGACAAAAACGTTTCTCTCTTTGCACTGCCTCTAAGGCAATTTGTTCACAGGCAAACAAACTTCTCTGTAGACATTGTTAGCCTTTTGCCATTTTTGGTGAAAGGAAAGCCTAAAATAAAATGTTTATTTCAGTGTTTACTAAGAGATCTAAAAAGTCGTCAACACTTCCAACATTTACTGCATTGTTTCCTTGACAGGCTCCCCCATGGCATTATATATTGAAGACTATTTTCTTTTTTGTTGTGCAAGTTTTCTTTTGCAAAAGTTTCTTTGAACTGGCTGTTAGGGTCATACCATAAATACATTGTAATATGTTAACAATATTGGTTACCAAATCTTTTTCAAAGCTGTTTTTGCCATGGTGGTATTTTAAGTCTCCTAGTGGAAATAATCGGCCCTTATTGACGTCAGTGCATATTTTCTAATCAGATGCCATCTGCAGAAAGTACATCCAATAAGCCAAAGAAACTCTGATTCAATTATACTTAATAGAGGTTTAATTTAACAGGGACGTTTTATTATTGGCAGAGGCAATACATTTTCTATTTCAGGCCCAAATTCTAGGGTGCATTTTAACATGTTTTTACCTAAATGTTATTTCCTTGATGTTGGGGGGTGGGGAGGTTAGAGACTTATTAAAAATGGAAAATGATGTAGACTGTCCTGCAACATATCCGCATGCACTATAATGCTGTAGTTTTCAATGCTGGGTTTTACATTATCAGTGGGACAGGCATTGCAATAACGAAGAACAATATACCAATGGAAGAGATTCTGACAAAAGAAAAGTAAGGGCACTAATAAGTAGAGGGAAAAAAAACTACTACTTTTTATAACTTAAGTAGACAAATCATGATACTCAACATTTTGCATTTTTCTAACAATCGTGCCTGGGAAAATCCCTTAGTTATCATGCCACTTGTTCTGCAACACTGCATCTTACAGAACATCAAGGGAATAATTCTGATGTATATCTGCCCCACTGTCCTGTGAAATAAGCATGAAGAGAGAATGGTATTGCACTGACAAGTATCCTAAGAGGTTTTATAGCAGAAATTAGTCAAAACTGCTCACTCAGGTCACACACATATGTTCAGTGTTCTGTACTTTGCTTTTGTGTGTGCTGTAGTACATGCATGGAATTCTCCATCACCATAGGATTAAATGGGTTACCATGTCTGAGCTCTGTATGGGTAAAATAGGGTTGAAGATAATACACTCAAATCCGTACAAACTAGACACGACAAATGAGAATGTATTTACTAATTTTGTTGCTTGTTTAAAATGCATTTATTTTGTTTGAGTTATTGACTATGTAACCAATGTGCTTGATAATTCTGCCCTTGAGTATCCCTTTAAATCATTTTTTTCTGCACTTGGCAATGGTTGTGCTCTTTACTTCTGAACTCTGGATTTCAGATACATTTTTATGAGCATACTTCTGACTATGTCTTGAAGGCACGCCTACACGTTTTTATGTATTCTCTTACTGGCAATGCACATAAAGACTAACCTTCTAATGTCCCAAACAATAAATTGATGTTAAGGATTTCCAGTTTATTGCAGTATGCTGTGTAAGAGTCAAGTCACAACATAGCACCCTTTTTTCTTTTTGAAATAACACTTAAGGTAGATTTTCCTGCATCTCTTACATACTGGGCTGTTTTATGGGGACTTTACCCCACTAAATGCTTCTGTCTTATTCATCACAGAGCCACTCCTTACATTGGTAAACACTAGTGATGTCCCGAACGGTTCGCCGCGGACTCATCATTGAGTAAACTTTGACCCTGTACCTCAGTCAGCAGACACATTCCAGCCAATCAGCAGCAGACCCTCCCACCTCCTGGACAGCATCCATTTTACATTCATTGTGAAGCTGCATTCTTAGTGAGCTGTCCAGGAGGTGGGAGGGTCTGCTGCTGATTGGCTGGAATGTGTTTGCTGACTGTGATGTACAGGGTCAAAGTTTACTCAATGATGAGTCCGCGGCAAACCGTTCAGGACATCACTAGTAAACACTCATACCTATCAAATCTCCTGTTTCGTATAAACTAGTCTATTTCTACTTTTTGCCTGACCATTAAAAAAAAAAAAAAAAGGCTCGATATTTTTCATCTCTTCTAATCTTTATCCAGCTTTGCAAATTGTGTGCTATTGTTTTCCATAATTTTAATCCTTCATTGGATAACCTGTAAGCTCTGATACCTTACCTTTATCCGATTATTTTTCTCTATCCTGACCCATGAGTTTTGGCCAGGTCAAGACCAGCAACAGCACGCAGATAACTTGAAAATTAGCACCATCTTAAAACAGAACTTTAAATTGTGTTTCTTCTAAACATAGGCCTTTGTTTATTATTACACTTAAACCCCACTGGTTTGCCCAATTGTCATTGTTTTTATGTGTAATTAGCTTCTTGTCCATTCCTGACATTAATAGTAAGTGACTGCACATGGTCAGTAGATAAAGCCAGCAGTCCACATTTATTTACCATGTACTTCATTCATTACGCTCCCTTATAGGAACACTGGTCTAGCTGAATGAAGTATACACTATATAATATTATAGTAGCAATGGCATGATATAATCCGCAATTTGTTGGTTTTGTTCTCTTATTTACCATAACAGTGCTGCTTTTACTTAAACGTGTGCATTTCCTACTATATGTTCCTGATTAATGGTGGACTGAATGTGTAATTGCACTACCTTCTGTATTCTCTGAATGCAGCAAGAAGTATATATACGTTACACAATGTTTGAACATTGTCAAAAGGAAACTAGAATCATAACTGGTGTTTTTATGGTGTGTGTGTGTGTGTGTGTGTGTATATATGTATATGAGTGTGTGTGTGTGTGTATATATGTATATATATATGTGTGTATATATGTATGAGTGTGTGTATATATATATATCTATATATATCCTAATTATGTATATATTTTCTCCTTTTACAGCCAACTACAAAACTGCTGCAGATAAAAATCTTACTCCCGTAAGTCCCCAGTCCTCAATAGACAGTGAGCTAAGCACGTCTGAGATGGATGATGACTCATTGGGTTCTGCTTACAAATTGAATGATGTCACCGATGTCCAGATATTGGCACGAATGCAAGAAGAGAGTGAGTATTAAGTTACAATGGTTTTATATTCCAGAGCATCCTAGAATAAGACCTTCTTTCTGCTAAATCTTTTAATGCAGCAAATGGTCAGATATAATAACATGCGTGAGGGAGGTAGGGTTGGCATATTAGCCAGGAATTTACTGTTAATAAGTGTGTTAACACCCTCAAAGGGGTAGTGAATGAGCAATGTTCTTCTGCAAGTGGAACTTTCACTATAGGGAAGTTGTCATATTTACACTGCTGGGTGGGCATCCTGATTCAAATGGGGAAATGTTCTGGAGCCAGGAACAGAGTTGTGCTAGTGGTAAGCTGGGCATCCACATTAAGCTGAGTGTAGCGGAGGCTTGGTATTTCACAGGTTAACTCCACTAAGATCCCAGTGAGGCTCAAGAACAAGTGATGAAAAATCCCATGAAGTAATAATTCCAGCAAGCAAGGTAATCCACGAATATCCCCTTACAGATCCCAATGACTGGACGACACACAGCATCAGGAGCAGAACTCCCTTTTATTCCACACAACCTCCTTTTAAGCATTTCTCCCATGCAAGGGAGGGATTCACATTCATTAGTACAGTACCCAATGAAATAGCCGTTACCTCCCACACATCTCCTCCCCTTAGTATGACACCTAATCCCATTATACAGGTTACAGTTTTCCCCAAGTTCTGGATGTACCCCAAGATTAGCAGGTACACCAATACTTTGGGTACCCCCTGGTAGCCCTGATCTGGGTGACTAGCATATCCAAAATTCACCCAGATGAGACCAGGGGTTCGGGAGTTAGGTGGAGGGTGAAATTTGACCGACCGCACACGAGGTAGTATCCGAAAAGGGTTCCATGCCCTGCGGTCGGTCTCCGTTCGGGAGGTAAAATACACAGAAATACATGACATCCACCATTAAAACGGCATTCACGTGAATGCCCTTGTTCGGTACTCCAAATTCTCCTAACGGGGGGCTGATTCGTCTTCCCGTTCGTGAGTTATGGAGCTCTGGAGGTGTCAGCGGTGTTCGGGTAATCGAGTGTCCGATTTGAGTTCCAGACACTCGACGACCAAACACCGCTGAGCCTTTCGTGCGTAAGATGGCCGCCGCCACGTGTTCGCATGCCGAATGGCGGCCACCCAGATACATCCATTAACCACCTATTAGTCTGTGGTTAACAAGTACTTTACAGCTTAATTAGGAACACACTTCACTCTGGGGAGGTCTATTAGTTCGGTAGTTTCCATTCGTATGAAATACAGATGTAAACTACCGAACAATCATACGAATGCCAGTTACAATGACATACAAAGCAGAAACACACAAATTACAGGATTCTCATAGTCTTTAAGGACAGCCACAGTATCATCCGCTACACTGAGCTAGTAGTTTTCAAAAGTGCCAAGGGGGCCATAGGCCTATACTGCGTTTTTAATACTGTAGTGACAAGAATAAAAATAGTTTTTCCTGTCACCATAGTGTTCATTTAACACCCTGGATAAAAGTTACACTGCTGCCAAAGCTAGACACGTGGTTTATTTACAGCTGTTAATTGCTTCCTGTGTGTTATTAGAATATTTGACAGAGTAGGAAATAAAACTTCTTAAATCACACTGTACTTTCACATCTGTTTGGAAATGAAACAATTTTTTCATGTAGGCTGTGTGAGTGACAGCCAGGGGAGGTGTGGCTAAGGCTGCATTAACAGAAACAAAGGTGAAAGTGCAGGGGCATGATCTATACTGTACACCAAAACTGTTCCATTAACCGAAAGCTGTTCTGATGCTTAGAGTATCCCCTTAAGAATCACAAAAGACACTGGTCCCTAAAGACACTGCTTGTATGGAATGTGGTGCTTATTTTGCAGCTCTGCAATTGTTTAATGTGTTGGATTTTGCTAGAACATTTTTTTAAGACTGGGTTGTTATGATAGAATATAGGTCCTTAAGGGCTTCAAAAAAAAAAAAAAAAAGGGAAGAGGGTAGTAAAATGGTGGTGGCGAAAGGCTTAAAAAATTTGTGGTCAATTCATAAGAATGGGATATGGCTACTGCCATAGAGAGTCTGTTACTGATGTTGGGACTGAGAGGAAAGTGGAAAGCAAAATTTTTAGGTAAATCCGAATTATGTATTCATGTACTTGATGACACTTCATGTTGTGGAAAGCAGGTTTTTACTGATGTTTGCACTTTTGTGGGTTTGCTCTTATTGATGGATTATGGGTAAATTTATTTGCTAGATGAAACAGAACCTTTCTTAAACTCTGCCATTGTTAAGTGTTGACATCTTAACTACTATGACTATTGAAAAGCAGTCCTAGCTTGTATTTATGTATTTTTTAATGAAAAATAGAACACTGGGGGGGGGGCTTTAAAAGTGACTTGCGACCTCAATTTTGGAAGGTAGATAACACACTCACCAGGGGGTGAATTTCTACTCGTGAGGCTAAATTTTCACTCCCCAATTGAGCCGTATATGGTATGTTAAGCCTTTAGTTGTTTAATCGAACAAACAGAACAAAGAATACAGGTAGTGCCAAAATAAATACAATACTGTGGTAAGTAATCAAAAAAGGTACCAAGTAAAAGATAAAAATGTCCTTTTGAGGTTTTAAAAGTCTTCAAATGTTGATTAAGATGTCTCCGGAGTGGTATCACACATCAATGGCATATGCTAAAGAGAGAATAGGAGACCAACAGTGCAGCATTTTAAGTCTATGGATTATAGACAACGTAGAACTAAAAATTGCCAGCTCACATTTTTCAGAGCTATAACCAGCTCTCGGTAAAACTGCTTACAGTGCTATTTCAACTCCCCACTTGTAGGATATCCCTCAAACAGTAGTTGTAGTGTAGTTTACATGCAATAAAAATAAATAAAAAAAGGCCCATAGTACTCTCCATATTTGCAAATAAGTAGTAGTAAAATGAAATATACTTACAATTTTGAGAGCAGACAAACCACTCTATGGTAACAGCGATCCCACCTAGGATACTTTTGATGATGGACCTGATGTGTATGGAAACTAGGTTGCGCCAAGTACAAATTACAAAAACAAAGTATAAAAGACTGCCCCAAAGCAAATAGGTAGTCTAAAAATCTTACTTTTATTTAAACAAATAATAAAATCATAACGCGTTGTGCCCTATTAGGCTTCTTCAAGTGAGATAAAACATATACCCACAAACCCACAATGCATAAAACATATACCCACGAACCCATAAAACAAACCCACAATGCAGAACACACATTAACAGCCATGCACAGCACATGAGCTGGCATGGAAACCACAGTAAAAGCCATACACAGCACATGAGCTGGCATGGAAACCACCCTACAATGCAGAAAACACAGTAAAAGGTTTGCAAACAACTAAGTTCCGCTCCCTACCTTTCCACCTCTTGAGAAATGCACTAAAAAGTCCCAAAACCGCTGCAAATTGCTCCAAAAGTCTCCAAAACTCACTGCAAAAACCTCTACAATACCTCCACGCTCACATGCTACCCAGACTCCAGTATGCAGGGGGCGGGTCTATAATCCTGGAAACTTGCTTTGTATTGTGAAAAAATTCATAAACCGAGGCATTTTTTTCAATGGATTTACATTCGTAAACCGAATTTTTTGTTTACCGAGGCATTCGTTAACCGAGGTACCACTGTATTAACCCCTTAAGGACACAACTTCTGGAATAAAAGGGAATCATGACGGAATATTTCCGTCATGTGTCCTTATGGGGTTAAATTTCAACCTGTTTTCTTTGTGAAATAGAACGTTTTAAAAACGGTTTTATGTGCATGTATTTGGAGCAATAAGGCAGTATGTTTCTGTGAGGTCAGACTGCTGAAGTGCACTAGTGTGTATAGTTTATTTATGTGATTTTTCTACCCTGCGTTTAGTAGAGAGTTTCCAGTTTGAAATCCATAAAAACAGGGAGACTAAAACATTACATTTTTTAAAGTAAACCACTTTCCCATTATTTGTAAAAGCATTGAAGGTGAGAACAAAACTCGTGTATGGGAAAGAAATGTGGTGGTCTGTGACGTTTTTCTATTCTAAAATAGAACAGTCTTCAGTCTTTGACTGCCCTTGTGATTTGAATATTTAGCAAATTGTTTGGTGGGAAGATGTGCTTTGAACTTCAAATGATAACCATAAAATGTCTTTGCTGCAAAATAAATATCTTGTTTTTATTTAACTAGGTCTTCGCCAAGAATACGCAGCTACTGCTTCTCGACGCAGTTCTGGTTCCTCCTGTAACTCCATGAGGAGAGGGACCTACAGCGACCAGGAACTTGATGCACAGAGCCTAGAAGATGACGAAGAAGCAGTTTCTCACACAATGCATCTGTCTGTAAACAGATTTTCAGCATCTCCCCGTCACTCGCCGCGACCCTCTCCTAGACAGTCACCAAGAAACTCTCCCCGCTCTAGGTCCCCAGCTCGAAGTCTGGAGTATAGAGGTGTTTCCCCACAGCCTATGATCAGTCGCTTGCAACAGCCTCGACTTTCTCTTCAGGGTCATGCCACTGAAATGCAGACAAATGTGGTTAAAAATGAAGGTGAGATCAGACACGTGAGTGGGGGGGGAGGGGAAGATGAGTTTGTATCACATTTTTACTGATTTATTTTTGTTTTTTCAGCACTTTTTTGATCAGCTTAGATTACTTGCTGTTTTTTGTTCTATAAAAAAAATGAAAATAGTGTGCTGATTTCATAAAACTGACAGTAATCTTGTCTGAAAAGTCAATGATGCTCTGCTATATTCGCCCTGCCATGGGCAGACCCTTTGGTAACAAATCTACTCTATGCTCCCAACCTGCTTCTGGTTCAGTAACTCTATGATGAATGCTGCCTGTAGGGCTGTCCAGCATGTCCAAAATCTATCATGTGCAAAGTAGAGAACAGAAACACTAGTTACTCAGCTTAGGTTGAGTATAGTATCAAAATGAAGTTAACTATCAAAGCAGAATCTGTTGCTTAAAAGGACACTCCAGGCACCCAGACCACTTCTGCCCATTGGAGTGGCCTGGGTGCCAACTCCCACCACCCTTAACCCTGCAAGTGTAATTAATAATTACCCTGCAGGGTTAAGCCCTCTTCTAGTGGCTGTCTATTAGACAGCCACTAGAGGGACTTCTGTGTTCTTAGAAAAAAAATTTAAACGACACTTGATGTCCTCACGCTATGTGTGGACCTCCAGCGTTGCCGAAATCCCCATAGGAAAGCATTAAATTATGCTTTCCTGGGGAGGTCTAAAGCGTGTGCGTGGCCATTGCTGCGCATGCGCATTATGTCTCCCCCATCGGCGGGGGAGGAGAGTAGGCGAGCCTTACCTAGCGCTGATGTCTCTGGATAAGTCAATGAAGGGATTTTAACCCCTTTAGCAACATAAGATGGGGGGTAGGAGGGACAAATGTTTTCCTGGCACTGGAGAGTCCCTTTAAATTCTTATTGGTATAATTTAATGAAATGCATTATATGTTGTGGTATGCATGCAGCTCAGATCACATGAATGGAAATGTATTTTTAAACAAGTTATATGTACTTTGTTGAAGTATGAGCTCTCCCTCCCTATAGGGATGGGCTCAATGGAGTATTCTAAGCAACAAAGTAGAGTGGTAGTGGAGGAGCAGTTTGCACCCTCTGTTACTCAGTCTAGGGCTCATATTCCCTATTCATTGTTCTAATTTGGCATAGTCTGGCTCTCATATCAAGCACACTCCAGGTTTATCCATTGCCTTCCTAAGAGGCAGGAAAGTAGGTTTTAGGGTGTAGTCAAATACTTAAACTTTTTGGAGCCCTGGGACCTTCACATAAAAGGAGTCTATAGAGCGACTGTATTTCTATGACTCCCTTCAGAAAGTGTACATGTTTTTGCATTTCTAATACTTTGGTTTGTTGTGTTTTTTTGTTTTATGCAGAAAAATTAAGACACAGTCTTCCAAACCTCTACAGGGCAACAGGCATTCAATCTGCAGAGGCTGTAAAAAACAGCAGAAGCTGTGAGTCTAATTTACAGGTTCCAAATGGAGGAATGTCTCGAGCGCCCAGTACTTCCAGTATGTACCCAATATGCCCACTCCATACGCAATTTCCCTATTACAGGGATATGTAACATCACTTTCCTGGTCAACATGGGTGATCCATGATTTGTTTTTTGTTTTTTTTAAAGCTTTCATTTTGAAAGACCACCTGTCCTGCAAAATGACAGTGACACTTTAAAGAGCTTACAATTCCATTATACACTGTGCTTGACGAACAGACTGCAAACTATAGATAATATATTCTACACTATTATTTACAATTGAATTTATGAACATGTTAACGTTGTGCTGTCTGCACGCAGATAGGTGATTACAAATAAGGCCCCAAATTTGGACATTATTTTTTTCCATCTCAAACTTTTGCACTTTTAAAAGTGTTAAACTATAAAGCTGAACCTCTACTATGAGATGGCTTAATTATTCCAATACTGATTCTGAATAATTTTTATTGGTTTATGGTAAACATTTAGGATTTTGATAATTATCCCATTACTAGTTTCTGTAATTTCGTTTTTTGAAATCATAGATATAGTTGCTAATTGGTAATAATCTGATCTTGGTTTATTTTTTGTATTTTTTTTTTTTTTTTTTGTTCGACGAGCCCAGAATAATATTTTGTAAATTTTACATAGCTCTTCACCTTGATATTGCTGTTATACTTTTATTGGGTGGGCGTGGATGGGATATTTACATATTCAGTGTTCATAAAATGGTTATTATGTGTGTTTTGATAAGCATTTACAATCTGAGCTGCATGTCTCCTTACATTTTTTTACATGCTGCATGTTCTGCTATGGGTGCATGTAACTATATTGGTCTGTATTCTTGGCATGTACAGATGCCCTTTGACTGGTTAAATAAGAAGGATGTAAGGTGTTATTAGCATGTTGGCTTTTGCTTCACAACCAATGTGACATTTTGCGTTATTTTATTTTGTTTGTATGTAATTGTTTGTTTTTATGTTGTATGAAAAACCTATACTTGGCAAACTTCTGATTAACCCATTTGAAGAAGTCTCAGATTTGCTTTAGAGTTTTTAATAAACCGAATTACATGTAGACTTTATTATGCAGATATGTTATTGCTTGCCAGCTCTTGTTGTGCAACATAATGGTTGTTTAGTGGAGATGTTGGGGATGCACTTGTTCATTTTGAACGGAGTGAATTTCACTCCCTGACATTAATACCCAATTTTTCTTTGTCGACATAATTAGTAATTTTGTTTTTGTTTGGCTCAGTCTTCTCATTGTCCTCTCTTCCGATAAGCCAATTGAATATTTTCTTTCATAAATACATATCTGAGCCATTTTATGTCTTTGGGCTGGGAGAGCTTTTACCTTTAGCAGAAAGTACCATAGAGATTTAATTTGTCCAGTTTGCTGGGATATGATAAAGCTGACATTTTATGGGATGTTCTGTTGAAAAGTGGTTCCTCCTAAAATATTATCCCATTTTATCTCAGTCAAATCTTGATCATTTTTTTTTTTTTGCTGATGACACTCAATTGAGTGTTTGACAGTGGGCAGCCATTAGTACAGAAGGTATTACTATGAGTATCTGTTCCAGCCAAGTTAAAGGGACACTATAGTCACCAGAACAACTACAGCTTATTGAATTTGTTCTGGTGAGTAGAATCATTACCAGAGAAAATGCAGTGTTTACATTACAGCCTAATGATAACTTCACTGGCTACTCCTCAGATGTCTGAGAGATCCTTTCTGGGTCATGGCTGCCTAAAATGCATCCAAACATTCAGTGTCTCCTCCCTCTGCATGCAGACACTGAACTTTCCTCATAGAGATTCATTGATTCAATTAATCTCTCTGAGGAGATGCTGATTGGCCAGGGCTGTGTTTTAATCATGCTGGCTCTGCCCCTGATCTACCTCCTTGTCAGTCTCAGCCAATCCTATGGGGAAGCATTGTGATTGGATCAGGCTACCACTTCTGATGATGTCAGCAGAATGTTTTGTTTTTTTAGGCAAGCAGCATGCAGAGTTACAGCTTCTGGCTTGAATACAGTAAGATTTTGCTATATTTACTGAGGCATGAGGTGCCCAGGGGGGCTAGATGGTGGTGTTAACACTATAGGGTCAGGAATATGTTTGTCTTCCTGACCCTATAGTGATCCTTTAAATACTCTGGGGAATTTTAAACTAGTTTCTCTGCTTTTATTGGACTCTTTGATCTCATCTATTCTTATAGTCTGAAAGTTGGCCTTTATGCGTATACATTCAAAATGTATTAATGGCTTTAAAAGCTGTGCATTTGTAATATGGGCTATTGTTTGAGAGACTGTGAAATGGCAGCACTAAAGTGTACTATTTACTATGAAATCATTTTAATATGGTTACCTTATGGGGTTGTTGTGCTGCCATATGCCATTTGTATATCAACATTTTTAAATATTTTTTTTTTTTTTTTGGAGGATGGGAGGTGGTTAGCAAAACACAAACTCTAGAGTTGATGAGCCCTAAAGCACTAAAATGGTATCCTCCTTGTCACTGAGACCTAAGTCAGTGTTTGGGACAGATATGCACAACAAACCATAATCTGTAAATAGAATCTATTATTCGCCTGCTATTTTCATAACGCTAACAGGTCGTGTGACCTGTTCTACACCATACTATACAGTTAGCATGGATGCTAGCAAGACTGACCTTTCCCAAGTCACTGTTTCTTCTTTTGCTGAAAATAAAAGCAAGAAATATGCGTTTAAAAAAAAAATAAAAAAAATCTACAATGTCAAAATGATCTTCACTTGTAATTTAAGAACAGGCCTACAGCCATAAATCAAAATAAAACTGTAATTGGCAACAGATACACCTTTTCCAGATAATGATTAACCCATACCTTTTGTATTCGTTACAAGTTAATGTTTTTCAGTTTTGGAATCAAATCTGTAAATGAACTGTGCTGTGCTATTTTATAAAGCTGTAAACGCGTACATTTAATATTTCTTCTAATGCAATGCATATATATGATCATAGTACATCAGTCAGTGTTTGGATTCTGTGTAGAGAGGTTGTCAATTTGTAAAATACTTTCACATCAGAACTGTTTTTACTAAAGGCACATTCAAGGTTGGTACCACTTTGTCAGGCTGCATCTCCAGTGTTCTCACCGCAACCTTACGGATTTTAATTTCTGGCATGCTTTATGCACACCCTCTTATTTTACATTGTTATGGCTTTCTCACGCCGCAGTATGAATCCTAGCATTACCACGGTCACATCTGAGTTTGCATCTATTTATTTTAAATAAATCTCAGAAAAATGTAATTCTTCCTTGTATTTCAACAGCACCAAAAAGGCAGATAAGTATGCCACGTTCTTCCCAGAAAACAAAACCGGGGGTTCAAACTTCAGCCCCTAAAGGAGGTAATGTTCACAACCTCAAAATTCAGTCTAAAGTCCAGTCGGCCAATTTTACTTGTTTTTTTTTTTTTTTTTTCCTTCAGATTCTTCAGTGACACATTTTGCTTTATTAAAGCTCTTAACAAATGTCATACATTGTTTGTCCTGCAGAATCTGTCCAGAGCGTTTCTTGGAGAAAATCCACTGAGTGATTGGCCTTTAATTTAAATCTCTCCTCTGATTTTGCATAAATCTATTTAATACAGTGCTGCTAAATGACACATACTATTTACTAAAACCATGCTGTAGGATATTTAGCAAAGACCCCCTCCCCCTATTGTGACTGCTCCACTTAGTTATACTTAACTAAATCTGTCCCTTACAGGTGCAACCACAGTCTTCCTAATGGTCATCTTCAGCTCCTTGTGCTTCAGCTGCCTGGAGCTTATGTTGGTGTTCTAACCATTGGAAGGCGTAAGAGTTCAGTATGCAAGACCACAGGATCATCCGTAGATGGAGCCTTTTTCCCTACTGCTGTCACTACTGACAGCTTGAGGAAATTACAAAACTTAATGGCGTTGGCTCCACCTTTTTGTCAGGTTTTGTCAATACGTCCCTAGTTTGTCTTGGTATATCTGTTGACTGCATTGGAAATTCAGTAAAATTTCAACACCGTCATTTTAGGTGTTTCATAAAGTTTTTATCTTGGTGAAATAGTAATTTTGAAGGGGGTGTGACCATGCTGCTTTAAGGACAAGCAGCAAACTATGCCAGAGATATGCATCCTCTGACACTCCAAATGTTGTGTACTGCATCTCCTATAAAGCTCTTACAGCCGCAATGCGAGCAAAGCATCATGGGAAATGTATTCCAAAACATCCTGAGTTCGAAGGTTGCCTACTCCCAACCTACCCAGTTATGGATCTGATGGGTGTAGTTGTGGAGGGGGGCCAAGCTACATATTCCATTAACTTCTCCTTGACAGAGGTTTATGGGATAACATCACACCCTATAGATCAAACCAGTCTCCTGGTTGGCAGTACCTCTTCTTGGTTCTGAGAAGTGCTTCCTTTTGTGCACTTATGGATTAGCGGCAACAACTGCACTTAAAAGGGAGTCAACATAATGCATGGAATGTGTATTGGAAGTACTCTTCAAATGATAGTTTCACTCTAGGCTAGATGATCTTATATTTGTTCTGTGTAGGGGTGGGGTCTTGTAATTATCTGACAATTTAGTAATCTCTGTTTGGCAGTTCTTTTCCTAAATATAAATAGCAGAGAGCATCTGAAGTATCATGCTAATCTCAGGGCCTTAGAGTGGCTATAGTCTGATTTACTCCCAGCACTGTTGGGGAGAGGTCACTGTTGTCTGAGACACATCTAGCTAGACACAAGATAATATCACAAAGTGCTTTTATCTGCAGTTTCTTGCAGTAGTCTCAGAACCTATGTAACCTCTCTTTCTGCAAAAATCTAAACAAGCAATGGGTTTATAAGGAGCTGAAACATGTACATGTTTGTGTTGAGCATATGCTTCTTAATAAATAAATGTCTATTCCTTTGTGGCTGTTAGAGTTCTACATTCTGGGTGTGATTTAATATTATTCACCAGGCGTGGTCCATACATTGCTTGCTTTATTGATGTATTTCTTATTCATCATTTCTTCCACACCCCTATTGTCTGCTGAGTCTGTGCATTGTCTGAGTTTTATGCCAATTTCTTCAGCACTTAAGCTTGTCTGTACAGTGTCATCTCAGTTGTAAGTTCTTGGATTCGGATTTCCGATCTATTTTTTTGTATCTACCGTTTACTTTATTCTAAATATTTAGGAGTGGTACGTGTTATGGATATGTTAGGTACGTGTATTTGGGGAAAGCACAACTTGCTTCCTTAAGTGCGGCCTGTTGAGTTTGCCCTATTTTTCTTTTGTTGAATTACATTTATTTTGCATTTTTTTTAGACATTGATGGTCTTCAATCTGAGGTTAGATGTGGCGATACTCTTGGAATATTCAGAAAGTGAATATTTGGAAATAAAATGGGATCATTTTCTAAAAGTGGATGATGAAAACTCTCGATTTTAAAGTCAATACTAATATGTACTATCCAATAAGAATTCTAAACTGTAATAAACCTAAATATACTTTATGTAGGAACAAAAAAACCTCTAACAGTATGAATTTCTATTGCTGCTACACGTCCCTCTAACTACTTGAACCCTCGAATGCTTCTTGACTTGTATAATTCCAAATGTTGTGATTTTACTGCCCCTTTCCCTCCTTCCACAGGTATAAATCTCCTTGTACAGAATAATCTACTCTTCCCATTTCATTTTAGAACAATTTGCATTTCATCATTCATATAAACAGATACATAAGGCCTAGAACCTTAAAGGAACATTATAAGGTCATGAATACAAACGTGTTCATGATCCTACAGTGTTAAACATATTTTAGGCTCTAGGATTCCCCTTGTCCGCTTTAAAAAAAAAAAAAAAAAAGGAAAACTCACTCCTTGGTTGAAATCCTCAAAACTGATGATCTCAGCCAATTCAATGCATTACCATAGGAAAGCATTGGGAGGCTAATGCACACACGCGGCAAAACGCTGCACTGCGCAAATCCTCATAGAGATGGATTCATTTAATGCGTCTCTATGGGAAAGTTCAGCGCCTCCATGCAGAGCGTGGAGACGCTGAATGTCACTACTGCACTGAGTGACTGCCACTAGAGGTGTTCCTTGGCAGCAATGTAAATATGTTCACATGAAAATGCCTGCAGGGACTGGGGGTAAACACCAGAACAAATACATTAAGCTGTAGTTCTGGTGATTATAGTGTTCCTTTTAGGGATCGACCGATTATCGGTTTTACCTATATAATCGGCCGATATTCGGTATTTTCGGCAATATCGGTATCGGCCAATTCAGATACCGATATTGCCGATAATACCTCCTAGGACCGCCAGGCTCATTACAAGCCCGGCGGTCCTGGGGGGGAGCAGGCAGCAAGCGCTTACTCACCTCCCAGCAGCTCCTCCAGCTCCCCAGTGCAAATCTCGCGAGACCCGCGGCCGTCCATGGCAACGCTCCGCGCGACACGCTGGCCGCGAGAGTTGCACTGGGGAGCTGGAGGAGCTGCTGGGAGGTGAGTAAGCGCTTGCTGCCTGCTCCCCCCCAGAGCTCAGCCAATACCACTGGACCACCAGGGACTGCTATATCCCCCTCCCTGGCCAGGTATGAAACAGGGAGGAGGGACAACAAAAATAAATATTAAATATATATATATATAAAAAAAAATGTAATAAATGCCCCCCCTCACACACACACTCCATTATATACACATACACTACACAAACACACTGTGTATATAATGCAGTGTGTGTGTATATAATGTAGTGTTTGTGTAGTGTGTTTATATAATGCACACTACACAAACACACTACACACTGCATTATATACACACACTACACAAACACACTCTATATAATGCAGTGTGTATACAATGCAGTGTTTGTGTAGTGTGTGTATACAATGCAGTGTGTGTGTAGTGTGTGTATACAATGCAGTGTTTGTGTAGTGTGTGTATACAATGCAGTGTTTGTGTAGTGTGTGTATACAATGCAGTGTGTGTGTAGTGTGTGTGTATACAATGCAGTGTTTGTGTAGTGTGTGGCAGTGTGCGTATATAATGCAGTGTGTTTAGTGTGTATATAATTAATGCAGTGTGTGTTTGCATAGTGTGTTTATATAATGCACACTACACAAACACTGCATTATATATACACACACACACTATACAAACACACTCTGCATTATATAAACACACTACATTCGTTATATACACTACATAAACACACACTTTGCATTTAGTATATACTGCATTCACTTTACACACACTACCCACACACTACACAATCACTCTGCTTTCATTATATACACACACTACACTAATACACACTGCATCCACTACACACTGCATCCACTACACACTAGACAAATACACACACTACACAAACACACCACACAGACACACACTGCATCCACACACACTACACAAACACACACTGCATCCACTACACACACTACACAAACATACACTGCATCCACTACACAAACACATACAGCTCCCCTGTCTAAACACACTGTATCCACTACACATGGCATGTATATTTTGTGCATTTACCTTTAGAAATGGTTTTTATTTTCCAAAATGGTAAATGTACAGAATATCGGCAAATTATATCGGCTATCGGCCTGAAAGTTCACGGAATATCGGTATCGGTATCGGCTCTAAAAAATCAATATCGGTCGATCCCTAGTTCCTTTTATATCCAGTTATTTATTATCTTTTTTTCGTGGTGGAATTTGTCTGGACATTTGGATCCACCCCTGACACTTAATCCATTCTTGAAGCACACATTTAGTGCTTTATAAATACTTTATTTTATGATATTAATAAAAGTTAAATTTTAAGGGTACTTGTTAAGTACATACCAAGTAAGTTGTGGTGGGAAAAAAGTGTGGATAAAAGCCCTTCCATCTGATCAAGGTGGATAGTTAATGCAATGTTAAACATAAATACACACACCAGGCAAGCCAGTAAACTATCTCATGCTGATGAGTTGAAATAACGAAACAGCTGTCCATTGCGCCTCTACCTGAGTTGTGTTTCAAAGCTGTTGTATGCAGCAGACACATACTCAAAGGAATCCATGTATAAAGTGGAATTATGAGGCAAAACTGTGATTCTTTGTTGAGCTCATTTGCATACGCCTACCAAATCTCCCCCCCACCCCCCACCACAACGTATTTGGGGGGGGGTCGCAAAAACGTAAATCAATGAGTACAGTAATCTTTTACGCCGCCATTCTTTGTTACATGCATCTACCCAATGCCCGTGGTACCCTGTGCCAGGCCCATCTGTATGCTATAGTGACTTGGCAGCAATATCTGCCCAGTTGCTAGTATTTTATGACGGCAAACAGGCATTGGCTGCTTGTTCTTGAGCAAACATGCCCCCACTCACTACATGGACAGCGGGGACAGGAGGGAGGTTTAAGCCCTGTCAATATGGGGGTTGTCACAGTGACCCCCCCGTGTTTCTCTAGTAGCTGACAGATTTCAGGTTTAGCTGTGGGAATTTCAGCTGAATTTAGTTGAAATTCTGTTTTATTTTTTTGAAGTGAAAGCAATAATTTTTGTCTGGCTTTTGACAATAGAATGTAATCGCCTATATTGAAAAGGTTTACTTGGGTGCTCATATAAAAGCTAATTTTTACAACAAACTTCTCTAAAAAAGTTTGGTAAACACTGTAACCATTACAGTTCGAGTCTTTGTTTTCTGTCTGATTGTGTGAAGAATTGGTCCCTAAAGACTTGTAGCACCATAACTATATAACTTTTTTTTGTGATGTTTAGTGTGCCCCTTTATCAGTTTGCACTGCAATGTACACACATTGATTTCTAGTACTGTATGATTGTGGTGCTTAATTTATTATCTTTTTGTTGCGGTCAGTAAGTAAACATGACAAATGCCCATAGTCTTTATGCTTTCTTTTCCTGTTTATGCAGTACCTTCACCATGCAAGTTCCGCTCCCCTTCAACACCTTCACCATTAGCATTGAGACAGCCTATGAAAGCTTTAAGTAATCATGGTTCTCCAAATGCACAAGAAGCTACCACTGTTTCACAGAACAGCCCTTCAACAGCCACCTCTACAAGCCAACCTCCTGGCTCTGCAAGTCCAATTGCCAGAACTGGGCCTGCAATGAGAAGTGGCTTACCCAGACCTAGCACACCCTCAGGTGGGAGTATACCAGTGCCTCGCAGCAAAATTGCACAGCCAGTTCGGAGGTATGTTGATAATGCCCAGTTTGCACTGTTTATGCATGCCCAAGCTGTTGTAATACTGGTTCATATTGCATTTAGATAATGACATAGAGCTTGTAAACGTAAGGAAAAGGGTATTTTGGTTTGTAAATACCTGCATGACTGAATTGGTTCCTTGTTTTATATATGAACACTTTATACATACATCTATATTTTTATGCTTGTATTCATTGGGGGTGTAGCCTAAAATAGATACGTCCATAAATCCATACATATGTTCATATACATCAAGCATGTCAGACTCGCGGCCCACAATGAATAAATTGCGAGGGTTTGCCATGATTACCAAGGCCGAGTCAGTGGAGGATCCAAAGCCTGATCTCGGGAGGGGCACTTGTAGATTATTTAAAGAAATAATCCAGATACAATAACCACTACAGCTCAGTGTAGTTGTTATGGTGCCAATTTTCTTACCGTTTGGGACTAGGGCTGTTTTTACATTTCTGCTATGTTTGTGTTTCCCCTCCCAGAGTAAGTAGTCAAACCGTTTAAGAACAGTTTGACAACTTACCTGAGGTCTCCTGGGAAATGGGGCTGTCATAGGGCATAGGAGCAGTGGTGTGTGTGTGTGTGAAGGTAGCAGTGTGTGTGTGTGAAGGTAGCAGTGTGTGTGTGTGTGTGAAGGTAGCAGTGTGTGTGTGTGTGAAGGTAGCAGTGTGTGTGTGTGAAGGTAGCAGTGTGTGTGTGTGTGAAGGTAGCAGTGTGTGTGTGTGAAGGTAGCAGTGTGCGTGCGTGAAGGTAGCAGTGTGCGTGCGTGCGTGAAGGTAGCAGTGTGCGTGCGTGCGTGAAGGTAGCAGTGTGCGTGCGTGCGTGAAGGTAGCAGTGTGCGTGCGTGCGTGAAGGTAGCAGTGTGTGTGCGTGCGTGAAGGTAGCAGTGTGTGTGCGTGCGTGAAGGTAGCAGTGTGTGTGCGTGCGTGAAGGTAGCAGTGGTATTGATAGCGTCGCGTGAAGGTAGCGGTGTGTGTCGCGTCGCGTGGTAGCGAGTGTGTGTGTCGTGAAGGTAGCGAGGTATTATTGTCGCGTCGTGAAGGTAGCGGTGTGTGATAGATGTGATGAAGGTAACTTGGCGGGTATTAGCGTCGCGTGAAGGTAGCGGTGATGATAGCGTCGCGTGAAGGTAACTTGGTGTGTTGATAGCGTGCGTGAAGGTAGCGGTGTGTGGCGTCGCGTGAAGGTAGCAGTGTGTGTGGCGTCGCGTGAAGGTAGCGGTATTGATGATAGCGATGCGTGAAAGGTAGTGTGCGTGCGTGAAGGTAGTGTGCGTGCGTGAAGGTAGTGTGCGTGCGTGAAGGTAGTGTGCGTGCGTGAAGGTAGTGTGCGTGCGTGAAGGTAGTGTGCGTGCGTGAAGGTAGTGTGCGTGCGTGTGAAGGTAGTGTGCGTGCGTGTGAAGGTAGCAGTGTGTGCGTGTGAAGGTTGCAGTGTGTGCGTGTGAAGGTTGCAGTGTGTGTGTGTGAAGGTTGCAGTGTGTGTGTGTGAAGGTTGCAGTGTGTGTGTGTGAAGGTTGCAGTGTGTGTGTGTAGGTTGCAGTGTGTGTGTGTGAAGGTTGCAGTCAGTGTGTGTGTAGGTTGCAGTGTGTGTGTAGGTTGCAGTGTGTGTGTAGGTTGCAGTGTGTGTGTAGGATTTGCAGTGTGTGTGTAGGTTGCGGTGTGTGTGTGTGTGTGTGTGTAGGTTGCAGTGTGTGTGTGTGTGTAGGTTGCTGTGTGTGTGTGTGTGTAGGTTGCTGTGTGTGTGTGTGTGTAGGTTGCTGTGTGTGTGTGTGTGTGGGTTGCAGTGTGTGGGTTGCAGTGTGTGTGTGTGTGTGTGTGGGTTGCAGTGTGGGGGGCAGTGTATGTGTCTGTCTGAGTGTGCGTGCGTCTGTCACTGTTGCGATGGCCACGGCTGGCTAGTGAAGGACATGAAGGTGCACAGAGGCACGCAACGCCACGTCACATTCTGACATGACGTCAACGTGCTCCACCTTCACAGGTTTTCAAGGAGTAGCGGGAGGATCCACTTTGGCACAGGGTGCGCACGGCGCCATTGAGGCTATACCAAAGGCTAGACTCCAGAGTCGCATACTGGCAGTGGCAATGTGAGTGGAGTCTGCTTGTTGGCTAATATTTTATTTTTTATTTTATTTTTTTACAAGGCCTGGAGTTTATATGATTTTTGTATTTTTGTATATAAAATATCTATATATAAAATATCTTTAGACAGTCCATAATGGCGAGAAAAATGGTATATAATATGTGTGGGTACAGTAAATGAGTAAGCGGAAAGTTACTGCTAAACACAAACATAGCAGAAATGTAAAAACAGCCCTAGTCCCAAACGGTAAGAAAATTTGAAAAGCGGTCTGGTCACTAAGGGGTTAAATAGCTTGGCCTAAATTCAAATTTGGTGCCAAAATGTTTGGTTTAGTTTGCGCATGCTCAATAATGCAATCCTACCCCACGCCTGCATTCCACAATACTGTGCCTATGTGCAGCATTTATTGTATTGTAAAAATATGCCTCCTGGGCCGGCATCTGTAATTTCCTGCATCTCCGGTGTGTACCTCTTTCCTGTTTTGAACCCTACACTCTGTCAGAGGATTGCAGATTACCGGTTATATGATAAAGAACATGTAGGGAAGAAAATTATCACAACTGCATTTTCCTCTGATTGCTTTCTATTGAGAAATTTACTGCACACGTAATTGTAGTCTGTAATTTTTTTTAAATACTTTCTTTTATGTTTATTGCAGGTCATTACCAGCCCCCAAAACTTATGGTAACATGAAAGATGACAGCTGGAAAGAAGGCTGCTATTGAACTGCAAAATCCCATGCATCACAGATTAAAGGACGGCAAACATTGTCCACATTAAGACAGAGGAAACGATCTACCACATGGAACTGTTTGGGATTTTGCAAACCAATCCCAGGGCTTTCTGTCCGTACCTAGCACAAACGGCAGAGGTTTAAAAATTGAGCACTTTATTGATATTTACCATCCAATAACAGTCAAACATCCACCTTTAATTGGGTCTCTTGCTTAGTATTTAATTGCTTGATGTATTTTAACCCTTTAGCATCCAGGACCACTGCAAAATTGACTTCACCAATGAGTGATATCTGATCAAGACAAGAGCAAGCTTTTTTTTTTTTTAAATGCCTAGTTTAATGCCAAAGAAAAACTCTTCGGTTACAATTTTTTTACATTTACCAATCCTAGAATAATCAATTGATTTATTTCACACAATGTACACCCCTTTTATTACCCATATAAAAGTGTGCAATGTAGCATGTGTTCTTTTGCCATTAATTGCACTGATCCAGATTAGATATCACCTTTTTAATGCAAGTGTGACTTGTGTGGTTTGCGCACACATTGCTGGTGCCTGTAGCATTCAAAATGTTTAATAATTTTAAGCTATTGAGGTTAATGCATCATCTCATCTTGGGACATTTAACAGGACACAATAACATCTCAGGATTAAGTCCATGTATCATATGAAAGCCTGTCCTAAAATTATTATGCAAGCAGACATTAAAGGGTCACTGTAGGCACCATAACCATTACAACACGCTGTAGTGGTCATAATGCCAGGGGTCCCTGGGTGCTGTCCACTTGCAGTGACATTTACCTTGCTGTGATATGTGCCCACAGTTTTTCTGGTATGATAATGCAGAAGTATGAAGATTTGCTATATCAAACCAGAAGGACGATGGGAGCCCAACAAAGCAAGGTAAAGTCATAAATTATTTGACAGATTAGATACAGTACTTTGGGATTCCTGGCACCATAACTACTACAGTTCACCATAGTGGGTATAGTGTTTAGATTTTCCCTTTAAATATTAAAAAATAACGGGACAACCAATAGCCATGTTTTGTGAGTGCTTTTTCACTCACTGGTTTTGGTGACTTTATTTTTGAATATTTTGGATAAATTTTTTAATACATTACACTGAAATTGTGAATATATTTGGAGTTTCTTTGCTTTTTTATTTTTTTATATCCTCAGTGCCTTTTCTATAGACGTAAGTTTTTATTTTTTATTTTTTTGTTTTCAGGTCTATTAACCACATTCAGTTTATTTAGGATAGTAGCGTATAAGGGATTGGAAGTCGGATACTAACTCGGTGCTTTTGCCCTGTCGACGATATGCATCTGCAGCCCACAATCTGTATATCTAACTAGCATCTGAAATGGTATTTTGAGGTTCTGCAGCAATTAATGTGATGTCCCAAGAGGTTTTCACTTAAGTGCTGAGTCACAGTATGAAGATGGATTTACATATTCACTGTATGTATTTTTGCATGTGTTTGCTGAAAGGGCTTGTACAATCTTTTCATAAATTATCCTCCTGTGGATGGGAACTCTGGCTGCAATTGAAAGTGTTCTGCTCAGAGAATGAGCAAGCTTCCTTCTATGGAGAAGCAAGGTGCAGGAACGACGTTGTGATGTTGAGACACAATACTATGCACATGTACCATACATAGACTAGCTGTGACATTTTCCATCAAATGCCAAATGACCTCAAACCATTTTATCAGATAATCACCCACTCTGAGCTGAGAGGATCAAAACACAATCTGAGATGTTTTCTATTTTGGTGTTGAAAAGATATTTCTTGACTTTCAGATGTTAGATTTGTATTTAATTTGTAAATAATGTTTGACTGTTGTGAGCTTTTCAGTATTTCAAATATGTATTTTGCCTTACATATCCCATATTTAACATTATCAATGCCAGCGTTTTAAATTGTGCTAGACCTGTTTACAGACGCTATACAGAAAGGCTAGCACTCGTAAATTTTTGTATCTAGTATATTCACACTTGCAGCACATAATCAGAAGCCTTCCATCAAACTCTCCTTGGGTCTTGGTTTTAGGCCAGGCATTTGTTTGTCCACAGCTTATTTCAACATGAAACACGTAGACACCTTATGCTTTGTGAACTCACTTTCTGCGCCATGTATTACTAAGAACAACATTTTCTAAATTGTGCCAGTTATATGCTACTAGGTTGAAGGCACTTACCCCTATATCTAGATTATTTATACAGCCGTTTTCTTGCCTTTTAATGATTCAGAGAAATCATTCCATGTTGGCAGGTTTTTCTAGCTAACTGCAGAGGCAAACACATGGCAGTGTGCACTAGTTAAATGTGGTATTTAACAAAAACTATCCGATCTAAGAAAAGCTGCTAATTTGCTTTACTTCTCCTTGGTGCACACAGTAAGTGCAATGTAAACATTTACCCGTTAAAGGATCACTATAGGGTCAGGAACAAAACTTGTATTCCTGATCCTATGGTGCTAAAACCACCATTTAGGTGGCTTGCCCCACCTCCCCCTCCCCCCATGTCCTCCTATAAAAGTTTAAAACGCACCTTATTTCCAGCACCGCGCAGGTCTGCCGGTGCTGGCTCCACCCCCTTTCTGCCATCATCAAATTGGGACGATGTTTAGCCAGTCCAATGCCTTTCCATAGGGAAAGCATTGGATTGGCTAAAAATCGGCCCGGGGCGGGGCCAAATGCCGTTTTGACCAATCAGGACATCCTCATAGAGATGCATTGAATCAATGCATCTCTATGAGGAAAATTCAGCATCTCCATGCAGAGCATGGGGACGCTGAACGGCAGGGCTGCTAATTAAGACAAAATGCAGTTATCCAAACCCTCTACAGCAGACCATGGGAACTCTAATACTGTGCCAGCTGCTTGCGCGTGTATTTTTTTATTTCATTGCTTAAAGGGACACTCCGGACTACTAAAGCTAAAATGCAGTGTCCTTTTTTTTAAATTTATTTTTATTCTTTTATTTTACAAAATGTGCAGATTTTTTATATAAATTGGCACTTTTAGAAATTGACCTTGTTACAACCAGTTCTGTTACGTCCTGGTTTTTGATGACCTTAGTAGAGCTAAACTAAAGAGGCAAAGACTTCTCATTAAGCTGCATTGGGAAGTCTGTGATTGGACATATAGTAGGGGAGGTTTGCAGAGGCAGCAGACAAGCTAGCAGCAGCCTTTAAAAAATGTTTTTAGATATGCATTATTTCATTGGAGTAATAATAAAATGCATGTATGTTTTCATTTGAGGTAAATATATTAAAACATAACTTTTTTTTTTTTGTAGGCAGGAGAGTGTCCCTTTAAGATTTTAAAATTTGTCTTTCCTTTATCCAAACATGGTAGCCAATACTTGGTGCAGCTTGAATTTGGCATAATCCCGTTTATAACATGGCAGACAGTGAATTTACCAACTAAAATCCCTGCTGATTTCATTGAACATAACACTGAGATCTCATTGGTCAGTAGGGGATGCTTGAGAGTTTGTGTTTTTTTTTTTTAAATACATTTTAACTAAGCCAACATTTGCCTATGCATGTTTTATCCTTGATATAATTTATTGCTAGGGATTTCAATGTTGCAGTATTTTTACATCTAGAATTAAATGTGGCTGCTTCTTCATTTTAGTTGGACAAATTTAATGGCATTTTATATATCCTATTTAAGCACATCTTTCGTGGCTTTTGATTCACCAAATATTTGAAAAGGTACCCCTATTTATAAATACTGCCCAGGTAAATGCAGAGGTTTGCACTCCAGTTTCTGTGGAATACAAATCTCATTAAGCTCAGCCAGTTGTCCTCTGACTGAGCCTAGCAGTTCCAGTCCACAGTTGAAGCGCTAGCAGTTCTCTCTCCCAGGATGTCTCTCTTTACCGTTTCTTTGTACTTGAGGATGTTGAAGGAAGTGTGAACATGTGGATATGATAAATAGTGCCTATGATTTATTTATGTTTGCATATTAAAGGGTTTTGGAATGTGGATTATTTTTGTGCCAATGCCTCTGAATAGTCATTTGTATGTAAGAAAGCAGATTGTGTATTTTTTTTCTGCTTCCAAAGTTATTTAAATTTTTGTATGTGTTTAAAAAAAAAAAAAAAAAAAATTGTACAAATTGTAAAAAAATACAAATTTATTCTTAACAATTCCTGATGGCTTTTGTTTTCTTGTGTGTGTAAAATAGCCTTGTTAAAATATAGTTTGGTTGCCACCATGATGTAAAAAGTATCAATAAGGAAATTGTTTTACTATTTTTTTTTCATGTGTATATAAAAAAAAAAAAAAGTTCCTCCTTCAACATTTTGCTGCTGCCTCACTTGGAATATTTCAGGCCAAGCAAAGTTTTTGGAATTTTGTTTGCCTGATGGGATTCACAATTTTAAGACCGATAAATATTTAAAACAAAAAGAATCTTGGTAAAGTATTCTGTCTATTACAGCTCAGAAGTGTGATGGAAGGCACCTTAACCCAAGGCTCAAGCTACAGATAACCGGATGTTCTGTCTGTTTTTACTTTCATGTTATGCTTTGAAATTTTAGAGATGCTACAGCATATCCAGTGTTTAAATTGCCCTTCTCATCAGCATATCTGGAGCAATCTACAAAAAAACGCAGTCTGGATTAGACAATGGAGACTTACATGTGAAAAACCTGCTGTCTCTTGTGCCATTAATGCTGCACAATCATGGGGTACGTCGGCTAACTCGTCTTGTGACCGGGAATTTACAAAAATATCAGAATCACCACTACTCCCCTCTTTTAAATCCATGGGAAGCAATATAGATGGATTTATCACCATACACAGGGGTCAAGTCCTGGGGAAAAAAGTGTGGGAACTCACCCAAGATTCCCGCTTCCAAAAAAAAAAAAAAAATTACTCTCCTATGCATATAGTACAGTGCAGGTTGTGTATAATGAATGTAGTGTGTTTGTAGTGAATGCAGAGTATGAATAATAAATGTAGTGTGTTTGTAGTGAGTGCTGTGTGAATAATAATTGTAGTGTATTTGTAGTGAGTGCAGAGTGTGTATAATGAATGCAGTGTGTTTTTAGTGAGTGCAGAGTGTGTATAATGAATGTAGTGTATTTGTAGTGAGTGCAGTGTGTGTATAATAAATGTAGTGTGTTTGTAGTGAGTGCAGTGTGTATAGTGAATGTAGTGTGTTTGTAGTGAGTGCAGAGTGTGTACAATGAATGTAGTGTGTTTGTAGTGAGTGCAGAGTGTGTACAATGTATGTAGTGTGTTAGTAGTGAATGCAGAGTGTGTATAGTGAATGTAGTGTGTTTGTAGTGAGTGTATAGTGAATGTAGTGTATAATTAATGCAGTGTGTGCGCGCGCTGGATGACGTGTGTGCGCGCGCTGGATGACGTGTGTGTGAGTGCTGGATGATGGGTGTGTGAGTGTGTGTGCTGGATGATGGGTGTGTGAGTGTGTGTGCTGGATGATGGGTGTGTGTGTGTGTGTGTGCGTGTGTGTGCTGGATGATGGGTGTGTGTGTGTGTGTGTGCTGGATGATGGGTGTGTGTGTGTGTGTGATGGTGTGTGTGTGTGTGTGTGCTGGATGATGGGTGTGTGTGTGTGTGTGCTGGATGATGGGTGTGTGTGTGTGTGTGCTGGATGATGGGTGTGTGTGTGTGCTGGATGATGGGTGTGTGATGGATGTGTGTGTGTGTGTGTGTGTGTGTGTGCGCTGGATGATGGTGGTGTGTGTGCGCGGCGCTGGATGATGGGTGGGTGTGTGTGTGTGCGCTGGATGATGGGTGGGTGTGTGTGTGTGCGCTGGATGATGGGTGGGTGTGTGTGTGTGCTGGATGATGGGTGGGTGTGTGTGTGTGCTGGATGATGGGTGGGGAAACATTTTTTTACTTTATGTATACTTTTTATTTTATTCCCCCCTCCCTGCTTATTACCTTGTCAGGGAGGGGGGAGATCGCCTGGTGGTCCGGTGGAGGGAGCCAGCCGCTGCACAGAGGGGCCATCGCACGCTGTGTTCCCTCTCCAGCTCTAACTCTCGCGAGACTCGCCTGTGCGGAGCGTTGCCATGGTAACAGCCGCGGGTCTCGCGAGAGTTAGAGCTGGAGAAGGAACACAGCATGTGCTGGCCCCTCTGTGCAGGTAGCAGGGCCGGTCCTGCAGGACAGGTAACGGGAACGGCGTTCCTGCTGTGGAAAAAGTGCGGGAACGCCGTTCCCATGCGTTCCTGCAGGACTCGAGCCCTGACCATACATCTCTTTAGGGTTACATTTGGAGGCATGAGGAGAGCACACGGCATCCTGAGATGCCTTGCAGTATGTATGTGTTTCGGCTGAACTTGTGATAGAATGCTGTTAATGTCATGAGGGGTGTAAATGGTGACAGGATTGTCAAAGACCATGTCGGTGGCTTTGTCCAGGCAGTAACAGCAGCAACTGCTCTTACACGGGAAGGGGCACATCTGGCAACAGTGTCTAACCTGGTGGAGTAATAGGCAACGGGTCTGTTTCCCACCATGGTCCTGAATGAGGACAACTGTGGCATATCCTTATCAGAAGTCAATGTGGTCACTGCTTGAGGTCGTGTGAGGCACATCAGTTCATAGGTTGAAAACGTGTTATAAGCAGTAGCCTTGTGTTAGGAGTGATCCCTAGTGTACAAAATTAGAACATTAAAGAGGAACCGACTCTTATCCCTATAAGTATTTGTGAGGTGTGAAAAATAAAATGTAAAATATATAGTAATACATAGCATTTTATTCTGCAACGGATTATCTCCTTGTCTGTCACTGTTATAAGCTCTAGCTATCGCCCCTGGCAGTCCTCTAAGAGAATAGGTGAAAATAAACAATGTTTGTTTTTGTTTAATTTACAAAGTTCACCATGGCTTTGCCTCATGTAAACTGGATTATGCAGTTTGCCATATTTTTATATAACAGAAAAAAGGTCATGACAAGCTAGGTGAGCACTAATATTTTATTTGTATATGATATAAAGCAGCGTTTCTCAATTGGTGTTCCGCGGTACACTAATTGGGGTTCCGCCCCCAAAAATCTGTAAATAAAATGGCCGCGGACAGCCAAAGCAGTGATCTCCCTTCTCAGCTCCCTCGCGCGAACAGCAGTGATGCCTGAGCCAGAATATGCGGTCACTCCGTCTCTGGCATCACTAGGAGGCACCGCTCACCTGTCTGCCAGACCTCCCGACCGCCAAGCTGCAGCCAGTCCCACTGGACCCCAGGGACTCCATGCCAGCACTCCTAAAGGTATAAGATGTGTGTCTATTAGGGAGAGTATGTGTTTGGCAGTGAGAATGTATCTGTTCTTGTCAATGAGAGTGTATATGTGTTTGTATGTGTGTCTGTAAAAGAGTGTGTTTGTCAGTGAGTGTCACTGCATGCATCTAAGTGTGTGTATGTATCAGTGTGTTTGTATGTGCCTGTGTGTATGTCATTGTGTATCTGTGTGTCAGATAGATATACACACACTGGCGTATTCAAACAGATATACACACCTTAAAAAACACACCGGCCCATGCAAACACCTTGACACACAGATACACACTGTGTGTATCTGTGTGCCACGATCTGCCAGTGTGTGTCAAATTCATGCACACTGGTACATACAAACACAGATATATAGACTTTAAAACAGATAAAAATACAAGTAATACACTGGCGCTATAGTTAAATTAAACACTCTTTAGTCTAACACAAATTGTTATATTTAGACCAAGCTGCTGTAACACCTAGATGTAATCTTTCTTATTTACATCAATATAGAAAACAGGATAAAACAATGTGAAGTCGGTGTAGCGCTATATACATACATATAATAGGATTAGGCCTAATAGAATAGTCAGGCTTCCAAATGAGGGTAATTCCAATATTTTGTATAGTCCACCTAAAATAAGCAAAGAGAACTCTAATAGTGTAACACTGTAAATTAAACTGATAGTGAGAGTCAAATATAATAGCAAACTCACATTCTTCTGAGCTTAATGCCAAGCTCAGGAATAAATGCGTATAGGTCCGTACAGGCGACCTTCCCCTTCTTCTTATCAGGTGTCTATCTCCAATCGTCTCTAGGGCTCAAGTAAAACAGATATATAGTGTAGAATGTCTGTGTATAATATTACTACTTAAAGTATATAATATACTCACAAGAATGGAGCCTCTATATCGGCTCTGTCTCTGCGCATTGAATAAAATGTAGAACTTTTCCAAGCAGGAACCAGAAAAAAGCCCATATAATAATTAAAAAGTATATAAATAATTTATTACATTACCAGGGTGTAGAAAAACCCTCTATAGTAAAAAACGCCAAAATCCAAAGCGCAAAAAAATAAAATGAACAAATAAATAATAAATGGGCATAACAATAACATACACTTCTGTCCAGAACGCGTTTCACCGTAACTCCGACGGCTTCCTCAGCTGGATTCAATAGATCTTCCTAAATTGCAATGGTCCTGCTTATATAGTCTCCTTCTTCTGTTCTGTCATTTGAAAAAAGGCGCGATTGTTCGGTCCACGCCCGATCAGTATATGCGTTCCACGCCTCTGTTTACATCCGGATCACTTCCTCATATGACATCATCCCTCTCAATCATGTGATCGGGTATCATACACGGATACCATTTTACATATCGAGGTCAATGATAGGAAAGGAAATAATAAAGGGGAATAATAAGCTTGTGTAGTTACACAAAAACAATAATTAGATAAATAAATATTTCTTCGATCTAATGAAAATGTATCTTATATCTAATGAAAATGTGTGAACAGAAAGTCTGTCACATTTCTCCTATTGCTACTAAAATATTGTCAGGGAGCTATTACAACGCTAATTGCATTCTCTTTATTTGTACTCACTTTATATTTCTGAAGTTAAACAGTAGCAAAAAACTTGTTACCTAAAATAACACAGCTAAATTAACATTGTATCGTGATGGTTTCTCTTTCTAAATCACTGTCACTTTTCACTGAGTTAAACCCAGGAATTCTACAGTGGTAGGAGACTTGTTAAATATACTAACATAGATAAGTTAACACTGTGTCCTTAATTTCTTATTATAGCTCACTGTCACTTATTACTAAATTGAACTACCGGCATAAAATAATGCAAACGAGT